CCTTAACAAGTAAAAATGCATAAATATTGAGATTTTCGTCTTTTTTTTTCCAACTCGGACTTCGAGTCTTGCCATGAAATTGAAAGGGGTGCTAATTTAACATCATCTCCAACCCCATGCAAAATCCGATTGACTCAAACCCCGTCGAAATATGAAAAACTACCCTTAACAATAAAAAATGCATAAATATTCAGATTTTCGTATTTTTTTCTAACTTGGACTTCGAGTCTTGCTATAAAACTGATAGGGTACTATTTCAACACCATCTCCAACCCCCATGCAAAATCCCATTGATTCAAACCCCGTCGAAATATGAAAAACTACCCTTAACAAGTAAAAATGCATAAATATTGGAATTTTCGTATTTTTTTCAAACTCGGACTTCGAGTCTTACTTTCAAATTGATAGGGTACTATTCCAACACCATCTCCAACCCCCATGCAAAATCCCATTGACTCAAACCCCGTCGAAATATGAAAAACTACCCTTAACAAGTAAAAATGCATAAATATTGAGATTTTCGTATTTTTTTCCAACTCGGACTTCGAGTCTTGCCATAAAACTGATAGGGTACTATTTCAACACCATCTCCAACCCCCATGCAAAATCCCATGGACTCAAACCCTGTCGACATATGAAAAAACTACCCTTAACAAGTAAAAATGCATAAATATTGAATTTTTCGTATTTTTTTCAAACTCGGACTTCGAGTCTTATTTTCAAATTGATAGGGTACTATTTTAACATCATCTCCAACCCCCATGCATAATGCCATTGCCTCAAACCCCGTCGAAATATGAAAAAACTACCCTTAACAAGTAAAAATGCATAAATATTGAGATTTTCTTTTTTTTTCCAACTCGGACTTCGAATCTTGCCATGAAATTGAAAGGGGTGCTATTTTAACATCATCTCCAACCCCCATGCAAATTCCGATTGATTCAAACCCCGTCGAAATATGAAAAACTACCCTCAACATTAAAAAATGCATAAATATTGAGATTTTCGTCTTTTTTTCTAACTTGGACTTCGAGTCTTGCCATAAAACTGATAGGGTATTATTTCAACACCATCTCCAACCCCCATGCGAAATCCCATTGACTCAAACCCCGTCGAAATATGAAAAACTACCCTTAACAAGTAAAAATGCATAAATATTGGAATTTTCGTATTTTTTTCAAACTCGGACTTCGAGTCTTATTTTCAAATTGATAGGGTACTATTTTAACATCATCTCAAATCCCCATGCAAAATCCCATTGTCTCAAACCCCGTCGAAGTATGATAAACTACCCTTAACAAGTAAAAATGCATAAATATTGAGATTTTCGTCTTTTTTTTCCAACTCGGGGTTCGAGTCTTGCCATGAAATTGAAAGGGGTGCTATTTTAACATCATCTCCAACCCCCATGCAAAATCCGATTGACTCAAACCCCGTCGAAATATGAAAAACTACCCTTTACAATAAAAAATACATAAATATTGAGATTTTCGTATTTTTCCCAACTCGGACTTCGAGTCTTGCCATGAATTTGATAGGGTATTATTTTAACATCATCTCCAACCCCCATGCAAAATCCCATTGACTCAAACCCCGTCGAAATATGAAAAACTACCCTTAACAAGTAAAAATGCATAAATATTGAGATTTTCGTCTTTTTTTTCCAACTCGGACTTCGAGTCTTGCTATGAAATTGAAAGGGGTGCTATTTCAACATCATCTCCAACCTCCATGCAAAATCCCATTAACTCAAACCTCGTCGAAATATGAAAAACTACCCTTAACAAGTAAAAATGCATAGGTATTGAGATTTTCGTCTTTTTTTCCAACTTGGACTTCGAGTCTTGCCATGAAATTGAAAGGGGTGCTATTTTAACATCATCTCCAACCCCCATGCAAATTCCGATTGACTCAAACCCCGTCGAAATATGAAAAGCCACCCTCAACAATAAAAAATTCATAAATATTGAGATTTTCGTCTTTTTTTTCCAACTCGGACTTCGAGTCTTGCCATGAAATTGAAAGGGGTGCTATTTTAACATCATCTCCAACCCCCATGCAAATTCCGATTGACTCAAACCCCGTCGAAATATGAAAAACTACCCTCAACAATAAAAAATGCATAAATATTGAGATTTTCGTCTTTTTTTCTAACTTGGACTTCGAGTCTTGCCATAAAACTGATAGGGTACTATTTCAACACCATCTCCAACCCCTATGCAAAATCCCATTGACTCAAACCCCGTCGAAATATGAAAAACTACCCTTAACAAGTAAAAATGCATAAATATTGAGATTTTCGTCTTTTTTTTCCAACTCGGACTTCGAGTCTTGCCATGAAATTGAAAGGGGTGCTATTTCAACATCATCTCCAACCCCCATGCAAATTCCCATTGACTCAAACCCCGTCGAACTATGAAAAACTACCCTTAACAAGTAAAAATGCATAAATATTGAGATTTTCTATTTTTTTCCAACCCGGACTTTAAGTCTTGCCAGGAAATTGATAGGGTACTATTTTGACATCATCTCCAACCCCCATGCAAAATCCCATTAACTCAAACCTCGTCGAAATATGAAAAACTACCCTTAACAAGTAAAAATGCATAAGTATTCAGATTTTCGTCTTTTTTTCCAACTCGGACTTCGAGTCTTGCCATGAAATTGAAAGAGGTGCTATTTTAACATCATCTCCAACCCCCATGCAAAATCCCATTAACTCAAACCCCGTCTAACTATGAAAAACTACCCTTAACAAATAAAAATCCATAAATATTGAGATTTTCGTCTTTTTTTTTCCACTCGGACTTCGAGTCTTGCCATGAAATTGAAAGGGGTGCTATTTCAACATCATCTTCAACCCCCATGCAAAATCCCATTGACTCAAACCCCGTCGAAATTGAAAAACTAACCCTTAATATGTAAAAATGCATAAATATTGAGATTTTCGTCTTTTTTTCCAACTTGGACTTCGAGTCTTGCCATGAAATTGAAAGGGGTGCTATTTCAACATCATCTCCAACCCCCGTGCAAAATCCCATTAACTCAAACCCCGTCGAACTATGAAAAACTACCCTTAACAAGTAAAAATACATAAATATTGAGATTTTCGTATTTTTCCCAACTCGGACTTCGAGTCTTGCCATGAATTTGATAGGGTATTATTTTAACATCATCTCCAACCCCCATGCAAAATGCCGTTAACTCAAACCCCGTCGAAATATGAAAAACTACCCTTAACAAGTAAAAATGCATAAATATTGAGATTTTCGTATTTTTTTCCAACTCGGACTTAGAGTCTTGCCATGAAATTACTTTTAAAATTTACTAGTTAAGGGTAGTTTTTCATATTTCGACGGGGTTTGAGTCAATGGGATTTTGCATGGGGGTTGGATATGATGTACCCTATCAATTTCATGGCAAGACTCGAAGTCCGAGTTCGAAAAAAATACGAAAATCTCAATATTTATGTATTTTTACTTGTTAAGGGTAGTTTTTCATATTTCGACAGGGTTTGAGTCTATGGGATTTTGTTTGGGGGTTGGAGATCGCGCTAGAAGAGTACCCTATTATTTCATGGCAAGACTCGAAGTCCCAGTTGGAAAAAAATACGAAAATCTCAATATTTATGCATTTTTACTTGTTAAGGGTAGTTTTTCATATTTCGACGGGGTTTGAGTTAACGGGATTTTGCATGGGGGTTGGAGATGATGTTAAAATAGTACCCTATCAAAAGGGATAAGCACTACTCTCAGACCACGGCCCACAAGCGCGGAAAAAGTTCATTATCAATATCTTCAATGTCTGTTCATAAAGTTTCTAGACTGAATCAAATGCGTAATCGTAATTAGTCGAGCCCCTAAGGCCCAGTTGTATGACAATGTACAGTCCAAGTTCAAATTTTTTTCTATTTTTCAAAGCTCCTTCCCAATCAAGTTCAAATCATTTCATATCTTACCTGTAGAAATTACATTTTTTGATAGGCAATTGTGCCTCTGCAACAAATACGTAGATAGGTACATCAGCATCAACTTTGAAATTCCAAATTTTCAAAGTACATGGCGTATGATACGTACCTCTACCAATATTAGAAGATAGAGGCAGTAGGGGTATACAGGGCGTCACACGACGTTTTTCCCAGGTTATAGCTTCGGAACGTGTCATCCAATATAATTGAAATTTTGAGGATCTTGGTAACTTTTTGTGCTGCTTTTACCATTGTCATCCAATTTCACCACTTTCGATTCAATTTTGGTCAAGTGACGTCAACTTTTGAATCTTAAATGTAACTCATGGTATATTATTACAAAATCGGCAATGCCATATTTGTCAAGGTTTTGTTAAAGAAAATTATAAAAAATTATACAGTGGAACATATGATGAATGATGATGCGTTCCGAAGTTATCATTTGGGAGAACCTCGTGGGACACCCTGTATACGAGGCCCTATACCAGGTAATGCAAAGCAAATTGGGTAGTATTTAACTAATTTGCACTTATCGGCGAAATGTGACTTAATTATTATTCAACTATCCACCGCTAAATTTTATTTTCAGTCAAGTATCCATCAAGTCGATTTAAATCCATTTCTTTCCCTCAGCTTAACAAAAAATCGAATTTCGAATACTTAATTAGATAAAACAAACTCCCAACAAAATCTTAAAAAAAAAAAAAACAAATGTTTGATGTTGCATACAGAATATTGAAATTTACAAGGTCACTTGCTGATTCATTTTCAACAAAACCTAACATTAAATTCTTATCGCAATAAAACTGTTCATGGAATTAATTGTTCGACTTTATCAAAGATTTGTCGTAAAAGCGATAAAAACTGTGGTTTGTATTATTAGAACCAAGAAAAATAAAGTAATAACTTTGGCTAGAACAATAGGTAGTTAATGGGTAATAATGAGGGTACTGATTAGTTTAAAAATTGTTTTTAATTTCTAAATTTTAATTGTAATACTATTGCACAATAAATACAGTCCTTTTTGTTACAGAGAAAAATCAAATCATGTGCAAGTAAATAAAATAATAATCCACAATGAAGATCGACAGGTCAAGAGTGCGCAAAAGCACTTCAGAAATACCAGCCGAGTGTCAAGAACTTATTGAGAGCATACAACAATGCTCTCGTACTGAACTTCTCCATGAATTATCAAAGATAAATTCATGGACATTTGGAAAATGCGAGTTGCTTCATTGGGCCCAAGTTTTGGATCTATTCGACAAGATTTTGGGCGCTGCTGCCGAAAGAAGCGAAGAAAATAAATGGGCTTTAAAATGTGATAGTTTCACTGGCAAGGTAAGAACTGTTAGTTTTGAAGTTTTTAAATTAATTTAGGCAAAGAAATATATTACTGGAATAGTCTAGTTTTACTTATAGTTTTTTATTGGCAAATGGTCTCTAGCATCAACAATAGTAACGTGAAAATGGACTACCTTCTTCAATACATTCAATTCCATTTCAAAAAATACCTTTTTTTACAACGTTAAGGTTCTGACCAAATAAATGTCAAAAGTATTTTTTTTTTTTTTTAAACAAATTTGAAACAGAAATTTCCCCTATAATTTTTTAAATATTTCCCATACCTTCTTTGACTTCCTCGGATTTCCTTATTAACTCCCTATACTTTCTGGGAATACCTTCTCAATGTTGTGACAAACTTGCACCCCTACCAAGAGGCCAGTGAAATTGGAATCTGTGACCATATCATATCGATATATCAGATCAAATTCATGAATTAGCGAAAGTCGAGGCGAAATCTTTATGTTTTATTATGGCTTGTTTCGCTACGCGTCGTTCGGCAAGCAATCAAGTGAGGAAAAGAGACTTTCCGCACGAGTTAGGAACACTATTTTTTTTACGAGTTAGAAGGAACGTACCTACGTAATGTAAATTTTAACACCAATATTTTGATAATATTTCTTCTTCAACACCTGGTATTAAAAACAAATCGAGTAATTTTTTCTTAATATAAATAAGGTACTTTTACAAATAAAATTCATTTATTTATTAATAAAAAAAAAAAAACTAATTCTGAAATAATGTGCCTTATTCTGAAGACAATAAAATCGAGAACTTTTAACAATAATTTGTACTATGAAATTTTCGAAATTTTTAAGCATAAAGTAACCATTCTATAGTAATTTCAGAAGAAAATTTGAGTTTAAACCAAAATAATTTAATAAATAACGTTATTGTGTCAATAATTCTCAATGCTGATATTTGTGTAAGTGTGTCAGCTCATAATTTAAAAATTGACATCTGTCACTTTTCCGCACTACACCTTTTCCAATTGTATTTCAGAAGCTGTCAAATGTATTTCAGAAAGTGTTAAATGTATTTCAGAATAGCCAAATATATTTCAGAAAGCGTTAAATGTATTTCAGAATAGTCAAATGTATTTGAGAAAGAATTAAATGTATTTCAGAATAGTCAAATGTATTTGAGAAAGCGTTGAATGTATTTCAGAATAGTTAAATGTATTTCAGAAAGCGTAAAATGTATTTCAGAATAGCCAAAAGCATTTCAAAAAGTGAAAATTCGGCGGAAATAATTCAGGAGGGAGGCGACACAATAATTACCTACCTATGTCTGTGCAGTTCTTCCTACGTGAGCTCATCTGTCCCAAGAGGAGCTTAATAGTAGCATTTAACTATTCTGAAATTCATTTAACACTTTCTGAAATACATTTAACTATTCTGAAATACATTTAACTATTCTGAAATACATTTGACGCTTTCTTAAATACATTTAACTATTCTGAAATACATTTGACGCTTTCTGAAATACATTTAACTATCCTGAAATACATTTGATGCTTTCTGAAATACATTTAACTATTCTAAAATACATTTGACGCTTTCTGAACTACATTCGACTATTCTGAAATACATTTGACACCTTCTGAAATACAATTGGAAAAGGTGTAGTGCGGAAAAGTGAAACTTTCCAAACTAAAATGCGCACACTCGTAGGCTGGCTTGGGCTGATTACCCCCCCCCCCCCCAGACGTATGGGCTGGATACGCCGGTGAATGCAATTTGCATTTAAATTTTTAATTTCCTAATAAACCTAGGAATTTTTCTCGGAATTTTATTTGTTTCAATTTGTCGTATAGCTTTTTGGAATTTTTCCAGAAATATATCGCCCCTGTAGAGCAAGAAGGAGCCATGTGCCAAATACACAAATGTTGAGAGAAAACCTCGAAGAAAACTGTAATTTTTAAAATTATTTATTTGCAATTATTTGTACTTTTCCGGTCTACATGCAGCTTGTCACCTTTTTACACTACGTGCGTTGGGCAGTTATCTGAAAAATGGTTCATTTGGCGCTTGGCCCCTTTTTGCTCTACAGAGGCGATAATATGTATTATTATACAGGGTGGAATTTTTAAATGGAATAAATTCAGTACTTATCAGAAAGCCTCTTTTTTTTCTGGAAAAAAAAAACGGGTCCCTTCATTTTTAGTTTGGCACCTTTTTTCGGCCTTTTCATGGACTTTACCTCTTTCTTAAGGGTAGAAACCACCCCCACCTTTTTTTTTCCTCAAATGTGTAAAGATATGGATTGTGATCGTTGGAATGGCATAAAAAAAAGAAAAATGAGCCATTATTTACTTTTGCATGTAATTATTTTTGACGTTAACACACTATTTTAGGGTTGAGAATCCGAGTATAAGGCATCAAATAGTGCGTTAACGTCAGAAAAAATTACATAACGTTACAAATGGGGCTTGTTTCGCATTAGGGTTCTACCAAGAAAAAATGCTGAAGATATTCAACAATTTTAACTGTAAAAAAAAATTGTGTTGAAAAATATGTTTTTATTTTTTTCTCACTTTCTAGATCACCGAAATGCAAAAGTAAATAATGGGTCATTTTCCTTTTTTTATGCCCATTTCATCGAGCTATAACAATACATATCTCTACATTTGAGAAAAAAAAGTTGGGGATGCTGTCTACCCTTAAGAAAGGGGTAAATTCCATGAAAAGGCCGAAAAAAGGTGCCAAACTAAAAATAAAGGGATCCTTTTTTTTATTTTTCCAGAAAATAAACAGGCTTTCTTATTTGTATTGAATTTTTTCCATTTAAAAATTCCACCCTAAATATCTTTGTTGAACATTAAACAGGATCTTTTGAAACTAGAAAAAAATAAATTTGACCTATTGTTCCAAAGATTAAAAAACTCCCTCTCGCTCTCTGAGACTTACTATTCAAAATTTATCTAATGTATTAAAACTCTAAATTTTTCCAATTACAAATTACTGAGAGAAAAGCTTGACAGTGATTTTTTCAATTTTTGTTTTTAGGACAAAATGTTATTGATATGCATCTTGAGATTCACAAGTTTATTGATAGAACACTCATTTTCACGACACCTCTACAACTCTATGGAACATTTGTTGGTTTTGCTAACATCTAACGAAATGAATGTTGTATTAGAGGTTTTGAATTTATTATACATGTTTTCCAAGCGTAGTAATTTCATTACACGTCTCAAGACTGAAGAAAAGGAATGTCTCTTGGACCGCCTTCAATATTTAGCTGAGGTATGTTTGCATGAAATTGTTGAATTTTAAAACTTTTCTGTCATGAATTTGCATTAAATTTTAGAATTGGGGTGGTAAAGAAAACGGCTTCGGTCTTGCAGACTGCTGTAAACAAGACAGTGAAATACCAAGCTCGGCTACAACATTACACGTTGAATTCCATAGAGAAGATTCCGCAAAGTCACCGAATAAAGACAATAACGAAGTAAATCCCAAATCCAGCAAGCCAAACTTGCATATCATTCATATAGAGCACATTGATAAGCTAGAAAAAACTCCTGCTGAAATCATGAAATCACTCAAAAGCATGTATTATATACCAACAGAAAAGGAGGTAATTTTTGAAAACTTAATTTAAGAGAAAATAGATATTTAGAATAAATATTTCAGATGTGGCTGTTTACCCATGTTAGATTGGCGACCAATTTTGCTACCCTTGAGAAAAGGCTCAAATGCGTCCAAGCAAGACTTCAAGCGCTTTCTGTTCTTGTTTATGCAAATGCGATACAAGATTCTACATCAAACTTGTTGTACAATGGCATTTTGGAAGAGCTCGTTGAGGTTGTGGAATTAAATGAACCTGAATTGACTGACATACGATGTGCAGCTTTGAGAACACTAACTGCTATTATTCATTTAGACAGAAACCCGCAATTTCCTAAGTAAGCAATTTAAAGTATAAAATACAGACTTGTATAATGCAAATTGATTTTAGTAGACGACCAGGATCTAGACTCAACAGTATTATAGATGTGACTGGAGCAAGTCAATATCATGGCTTCTTACCAGTGTTGGTTAGAAATTGTATAGTTTCACTTACTAACGATCAACAACGGCGTTCGAAAAAGAGAAAACATCATGATTCATCTGATGAAACGACCGAGACTTTATCTGATGTTGAAACAAATATCGGAGTAAATGCCATACAAGCACTTTCTGCACACTCGGAATATAAGTTTCCTGTCAGTTTAACAACTGCTCTATTTTCCTTTTTGTATCATTTAGCAAGTTATGATGTTGGTGGCGAAGCTTTGGTTTCTTGTGGAATGATGGAGTCTCTTTTGGAAGTTATTAATTGGCAAGGATATGAACTTGATCATATTACTGTAAGTTAGTGGTCACTACTTGATGAACATGAATTAGCTATATCATTCTTTGATGTATTTTTTTTCAGTTTGTAACAAGAGCTGTGAGAGTTATAGATCTCATAACCAACATTGATATGCAAGCCTTCCAAGTTCATGGTGGATTGACTAGTTTTATCAATAGATTAGATAAAGAAGTCAATTTTTGTAATGATGATCAACTGTATCAATTCCCAGCTCATAATCTGGATGATAATATTCCAGTGAATGAAGACAACACTCCCGTAGTCGAATTGGAATATGTGGAACATAACGCTGAAAACAGCTGTCTCCCTCAAAGGGCAGCGTTACTTAAATCTCTTCTGAATTTTTTGAAGAAAGCATTTCAGGTATGCTCCTAATGAACGCGATTGTTTTTGTTTTCAATTAATATTTAAAATTATATTCCTAGGACGCTGCATTTGCTGAAAGTATTCGACATTTAATGGAAAGTCCTCTACCATCAGCACTGAAAAATATAATTGCCAATGCTGAATATTATGGTCCATCGTTATTTTTACTAGCTACTGATGTTGTTACTGTATATGTCTATCAAGAACCTACTGTGTTGCCTGCATTACAAGATAATGGTTTGACCAATATTGTCCTAAATTCTCTGCTAATGAAAGAGGTGAGTCTATTCTATTATTACCAATTATGTTTTCTCTTGGGCTTTAATTATTTTTTTTGATTTGTTGATTGTGTTTTAAAATTTTATAATTGAAATATTGTTCACATCGACCGCATCACATAAAAAATTTGTTTAGTTCTAAATTTTCAGAGAACTCTTATTCTATTATGTACAGGGTGTCCCAAATTCGAGGGTGACCATTGAAACTATAAGAGAAACGAGGTCGGTTGAATTATGGCAAAGCTGCGCAATGACTAATAAAATCCCGTTTTGACATTTGAAAAATTCCGAAGATATTCAGGAAGACCGAAATTTTGCAAAATCATTTCTATTTTTTCCTGAGTCTATTTGAAGAGGAATTTTAAAATAAATGTCACTTCATCATTGTCACTTTTTCCTCTTCACAAGATGTTGCTACAAAATTTCAGATTCGACGTTTCGTCTTTGGGCGACCATCATCAACTATATTTTTTTTTAAATACGACGCTTGATTTTTTATTTCAGATTTTAAGAGCTTCTGGTGTCCCAAAACCTATGACGTATCGCATTTATTCGAAAATTACTTTTTAGTAATTTCCTACCAAAATTCTCTTCTCTATCTCTCTCTAACACATTTAGTTCTTATGGAAAGTGCCAATAATATAAATTTTTCGAATAAATACGATACGTCATAGGTTTTGGGACATCAAAAGCTCTTAAAATCTGAAATAAAAAATAAGGGTCCGTATTTAGAAAAATAAAGTTGATGATGGCCGCCTAAAGACGAAACGTCGAATCTGAAATTTGGTAGCAATATCTTGTAAAGGGGAAAAAGTGACAATGATAAAGTGACATTTATTTTAAAATTGCTTTTCAAATAGTTCAGGAAAAAATAAAAATTATTTTGCAAAATTTCGGTTTTTTCCGAATATCTTCGGAAGTATTCGGAATTTTCAAAATTTCAAAACGGCATTTTATTGGTCAAAAAATTGCGCAACTTTGCCATAATTTAACTAACCTCATATCTCTAATAGTTTCCGATATCTCAATGGTCACCCTCGAATTTGGGACTCCCTGTATATCATTTAAATTCCCTTAGTTTAACGCATAAAATCGAGTGTGAACTTGTGTATACCTGCATGAGAAGTGTTAGGCTTATAAATAGGTAAAAACCTTCAGTACAGGTGGTCGATTTTTTCTAATTCGGTCCAGATGTAGGAAGTGCAATAAAAATGTTTTTTTACTACTAACCTGAGAAATAGTCATTATTCAATCTATTTTTCTAGGAAGAAATTGAATTTCTCTCCTTAGGTTAATGATGAAAATAATGAAAAAAGATATTGTCATGACGTACAGTGACAATCATTGCAATTGGCACACACTATATAAACATCCTCCGTAATGAGTCAAAATTTTACTTCTTCGACACACGGGTAATGTAGAAATCGTGACAGATTGATAAATCAGTGGCTTGATCAGTGGTGAACATTATAGTTTTAATAAACTGCTAAAGGAAAAAACTATATGTACACCACTGCACTAAATAGATTTATTCGAAAGAATTTTGACTTAATACGAGGGATGTTAAAAGAGTATAGTATGTGCCAATGATTCCCACTGTACCAGGTTTCTCTTGGTTCAATTTCAATTTTAACCTGTCAATTGAAAAGAAACAGGTACAGGTATGTACAGGGTGTTTCAAATTCGAGCCACATCATTGGGATCTCGGAAACGGTGAGAGATACAGGGTTGGTTAAATTGGGGCAAAGTTGCGGAGCTTTGATATTTAGGATATTCCGAATACTTCCGGAGATATCCGGAAAAAACCGAAATTTTGCAAAATTGTTTTTAATTTTTCCTGACTTTATTTGAAGTGATATTCCAAAAAAAATATCACTTCATCATAGTCCCTTTTTCTCCCCTACAAGATGCTACCATCAAATTTAAAATCTGCCGTTTTTTCTCTGGGCCACCATCATCAACTTTATTTTTTTAAATACGAACCTGGATTTTTTATTTCAGATTTTTAGAGTTTCTGATGTCCCAAAACCTATAACGTATCGCATTTATTCGAAAAAATATTTTTTAAATTTTTTAGTAATTTCCTTTCAACATTCTCTTCTCTGTCTCTCTTTTTTAGTTCGTATGAAAAGTGCCAATAATATAAATGTTTCGAATAAGTGGAAATACGTCATTGGTTTTGGGACATCAGAAGCTTATAAAATCTAATATAAAAAATAAGGGTCGGTATTTAAAAAAATTAAGTTGATGATGGTGGCCCAAAGACGAAATGTCAGATTTTAAATTTGAAGCTAGCATCTTGTAGGGGAGAAAAAGTGGCTATGATGAAGTGACATTTTTTTAAATAAACTTTAAATAAAGTCAAGAAAAAATAAAAACATTTTTTTCAAAATTTCGGTTTTTCCGGATATCTCCGGAAGTATTAGGAGTATCCTGAATATCAAAGCGGCATTTTGTTGAACATCAAATTTCGAAACTTTGTCCCAATTCAACCAACCCTGTACTTCTCACCGTTTCCGAGATCCCAATGATGTGGCTCGAATCTGAAACACCTTGTACAGGGTGCTGCAATTTGGAGTGTTAACAGGAAAAACATACTTCCAGACCATATAGAGGAAAATTGACATAGATGTCATGGGATTGATTTTCGAGAAACGTCGATTGTCAAAAACCGTATCGCGATATCTTCAATGGTACCATTAATAAGGGCGATTTTCGATTTTCCCCTATTATGAAAAATGGCTAAAAGTTTCTTGTCTATCAATTTTTTTTTATTTCTGTGAAAACATCTTTGGGTTAGTGGCTACTCAGTTTTTTCCTATTTCGCTCCCATTTTGAGATATTGACCAAGGTCCGATTTTTTTGAATAGGATACCCTATTATATTAATAGCTCATTGGATAGCTCTGCTTTTGCTGATTTCAATGATATAAAGTTCAATAGGTTTATCTCTAACAGTTTTCGATTTTTTTTTTTTTTTTATCTGTTTCAGTCATTGTGAACAATGTGTTAGAAAGAGACCTTCCTCATTTTAAAAGGAGAGTTTGTTTACTAGGTGTAGTTCAACGAAACTACCTATTTCTAGCCTTCGAACTTGCGTTTGAGATAATATTCTTCAGTGACTCTATGAAAGATAATTTTCCACTTTTGATTTAAACAAATATTGAAACGAAATTAAATTATGCCATTTTTGTTTTGTAAATGGTATTGAAAAATTTTGTTTTTTCAAGGTGCCAGCAACTAGAGAAGTACTTGGTTCTCTCCCAAACGTTTTTAGTGCCCTTTGTCTCAACGCCCGCGGCTTAGAGTTATTTGCACGACACAGACCGTTTGAAAAACTTTTCCATATATTGCTGTCGCCACTTTATTTGCCTGCAATGAGAAGAAGGCGCAGCTCGGAACCATCAGCAGACACAGCTTCTAATCTTGGCAATGCTATGGATGAACTAATGAGGCATCAGCCTAGTTTGAGACAAGATGCCACAGTAGCTATAGTAAGCCTGCTTGAAGAACTCGTTTTTCTGGGAAGCGATCCCAAATTCATATGTTGGAGGCCCCATGGACGCGCGGAACCGCTTAGTACCACACCTGGAAGAGCTGCACCAACAGAAGGATCCTCTGATGAAGAAGAAGAGGATGAAGATGAGACCTCTACAAGTTCCAACGCACAAACTCAAAATGAAAGTAATGCTACACAATCGCCTGCAGGAAATGAACGTCAGCTTATTCCCTTGATTGATTATATACTTAACGCAATGAAATTTATAGATGCCATTTTAAGTAATAATTCAACTGATGATCATTGCCGGGAATTTGTTCAGAAGGTATAAGTTTTTTTTGTTGTTAAATTGGCTATATAAAACATAAAATTATTTTATCTCAGGGTGGTTTAAGACCGCTACTTCGCCTCCTAGGTCTTCCCAATTTGCCAGCAGATTGTCCAGTAACAAACCCAGCTCAATCTGTAGCAACTGTATGCAAAAGTATCTTGAACCTGGCCCACGAACCATATCTATTTCAAGAAGGCTTGCACCAATTAAGCGAAGTTCTTGACAATCTAAAACCTCTCTGCTCACCAACCAACGATACTAAGCCAACGATGGGAGGTTCAAAGCTGTTAATGGAACTAGCTAGCGCTCCAGATGCATCTGCAGCTTTTAGCTCTGCCCAAGCCACCCCATTATTACACGGCATGAACGCAGCACACGGTTATGTTTTGATGTTCGTCCATGTTTGTCGCACTGGACAGCCAGAGATACGTAACCTATCTTTACATCATTGGGGCAAGAAAGAAGGATCGAAAGTTTTGAAAGGTAAGCATTTTTTGTTTTAATTTTATTAAATAGGATTGTTTTTATTGAATCGGCTTCTACTAGGTGGAAATTTATTATCTAGTAAAAGATTTTTTAAGTAAATTACTATACTTATTTATTTCTACTAATTTGTGTTCAACTTTACCATGTTTCACTACACTGTAGCTTCATCAGAAAGATTTCAAGAATTATATGTAGACATAAAAGTGAAATTGACAAATATAAGACCAGCTTTTACCTTTTTTATATTTGTCAATTTCACTTTTATGTCTACATATTATAATTCTTGAAATCTTTCTGATGAACTTTGATGAAGCTACAGTGTAGCAAAACATGTTAAAGTTTCACACAAATTAGTGGAAATAAATGAGTATAGTAATTTACTTAAAAAATCTTTTACTAAATAGGATTGGTCTCCCCTCAAAAAATCTATAAAAATCACCATTAAGGGGATTGAATGCGCCTCGGTGCCAAAATATTTTTTCCTGCGTGAAGCACCTAACGCAGTCTATCATTGTATTCTTCCCCCCCTATTAATACTCCTTAGTGGGAATGAGATGAATGAAACAAGGAATGCATTGCGTTCTTAGTTTCAACGTAACTTTTTAGCAGTTGAAGTTATATCAAATTTCTTTTTTGCATTCGATTTATAATATAGGGAAGAATGGCGCTATCTTTTTAGAAATCCGGTAATAGAAACGAGTTCTCGAAAAATTACAAAAATGTAATTTAAACTGGAAAAAAACGAGAAAATTAATCAATTTATGGTGTCTTTTTTATTTAGCGCCAATCTTATGTGTGTTAGCAATACAATAGCACAAACCAGAATCCCAAAAATCATCTAGTTTTTTTTGTAGAAATTTACTTAATTCTTCTTGTCATTTTGCCTGTCTCTGTTATATCCGCAGCAAACCCTATGGCTCTTTCCTCCGCCTGATTTGCGATAAATTTTAAATCGCTATCATGAAGGATCCAAGGCCAACCGGCCCAACAGTAGCCCAATGCAATAATCGCGATGAACCTCACATCTTTATTAGCATTAACTTGTTGGGAGTCGTATAGTTCGACGTGCGTTACAATATATTTTAAACGGCGCATTCAATACCCTTAAGAGTTCACTGCCAAAATATATAGTAAGACACAAGCTTTGTTTTGGTTTGAAAAAAAGGACGGTTGTAGAACGGTCCAAAAGAATCGCACAGTTTATTATTCGAATTTTTTATAGCCGAGCCGTTGTCATTTTGTTGATTAATACACTGTGCGATTGTTTTGAACCGTTCTAGAACCATCCTTTTTTCAAACCAAAACAAAGCTAAAGACACCCCATTTAGATTGAGGAAGTTGTTTTTGGCGCATAATAAGGCCTTCCTAAAAAATATCATCACAGGTAGTCTTCAATTCATGTCAATTCGGAAAATCTCTGCTCTATACTAACTAGAATTTTAGTATCATCTGCATAGTAGGAAACTTCAACTCCACCCAATGATAAGTACCCTATTGTTACCTAAGGGTAAATATATCTATTGTATTTATGATTCCTTATTGTTACTCATTTAAACTACATACCATCATTTTTTCACATTTGTTTGTTGTCGTGGACATCAAAGCAAGTTTTTTGAAGAACCCCTCAAAAAATTCTTTCAAATTTTTTTGCCGTTATTCCACAAAGATCTCGGTGAATTTAAATAAGTCAATATTCTCATTAGGGAATTATTGAAGAGTAAAAAATGCCAGGCACTAATAGCGCTAGGCAATATTTTTGTGGCAGTACTGTTAATTTTTAGTGCCGCCACTAATAAAGTTTGTGCCTTCCACTATTTGTGGAAAATAAAAACAGGCCATAAACAGGCACAGTCACGTCCCTATGTCTCTTTTTTTTTTAAGTTTACGTCCGTCAAGGCTTATTCGAATGTTGACCTCACTTTTTTTATTAATTTACATGAAAACTGAACTGCGCTTGCGCATTGGTTTACATAAAATCTGTTTTTTTTTTAAAGATAAAAGTCAAAATGACATTATGTTGGCAATACAATGTAAAATTGTCAATGCTTTCAATTTTTTTGTGCAGAAAAGGCTTGTGTTGCCAACAAAGTTACTAAATTTTTGACTTGGGAAATTATCTTTAAAAAAAAAAACGTACATGTTCGATATGAATAAATGCGCAAGCGCCGTTCAATTCAGAACTGATTTTAAACGAAGTCCGACCAAACCTATTTCTTCAATTTCCAGTGCAGGTTAGTGGCTTCTTAGCGGTGTTTGGTGTTGTGTTTTTATAGGTTTTTTTAACGATTTGCCTGTTCTGTTCATTGCATGTGTTGGATTTTTTTATTAGAATGGGCTCCTATGAAGAGAAAGACAGTTTAAAGTCACAATTAAATACTTCGTTTCAATGACCACGGGGCCCCGCCTTTCATCATTCTCGTCCCTTGGTGCCTTGAAATGTGGTCTAGAGTCTAGAATGACGTATCCCACATTGTCATCATCCCCATCCCCATCCCCTAATAATACGGCCTCCAATAACTTCCATTATAAAATATAGATGAAATAACGGGTTTGTTTTGGTTCGTAATTTCAGGACGATTCTAGAATTGCGCAAAACAAATTGCGCACTAGCAGCAATCTTAGTTCGGAATCAATTCGCGAGAACGTTAAACCAAAACAGACAGAAGTCACCACAAAAATAAAAATAAATAATAGTTATTTATACACCAAGTGAGTTAAATGACTGTTTATTCATGAGAAGAAAGTTAATTTTCTTCGAATGAATAAATATTTTAACTCTCGTGATGTATACAAAATTTTATCCCATTTCGTAGAAATTCCAAAAATAAAGTACAAGAAAAAATGCTGAGAGTGAGTTAAAAATATTTTAAATCACTGAGGTGTCAGAGTTAATTGGACAGAGTGACTTAAAATGCCGAGAGTGAGTTAAAAAATCTTTAAATCACTGAGGTGATAAACGTCTGCTTACCTTTATTCTTATGCGTTCAATAATGTCATTTTTAAATCTCAAAATGGGATAAAAATTAATAAACTATTGACTATTGCCTCAATATTATTAGACTCACCATCAAAGCTGGAGAGCTCATGATGATAATTGTTCCTGTTGTTGAAAAAAAAATTTTAAAAATATTTTAAATTGATAAAAAAAAATCTGCGCATGTGCGAACTGTGCAATTCGCAAACCGTCCCTACTAAAAGGCGCGAATCGTTTGGACGATCCTAGAACGGTCCAGAATCAGATTCAGTCCGAAACCAAAACAGCTGTGTAAACATTCGGAATCGATTCTAAACGAACCAAAACACTAAACGCTTACTACGCATGTGCGAACTATCCGAGAACGTGAACCAAAACAAACCTAACAAAACAAATTCAACAAAAAACTACAAGAAGAACCACTAGAAGAACACCAAACTCGTAAGGTCCGTTTCACCAGAGTTCACACTTGACCTTGAAACTTGAAAAAAAAAAGGGTTGTCGTAGATTGATTCATATGACACATGCAATTTTTTTGACAAATTAAAATGAATGACTTTTGGTTAAGAACCGACAAACGTTTTTGACGTTATTGATTTATTTCAGTCAATTTTTATTTGTTAAACAAGGAAGGTAAATGCTGGTGGCAAGTACAAACCCTGGCGAAACAAACTTTATTTACATTTTGCAATTTTAGGTTAGGAATATCAAAATAAAACATGACATGCCACTGCCAAAGGGTCGGCAGTAGGACCATAGAAAAGTGATTTATAAATTCTTAAATAGAACATTCACTGGATTCATCCCCTCCGCTTTTTGTTTTAGTTCATGACTACACCGCTGTGCGCCCATATCGCCGTTTCTCAACGTCCCCCTCGTTTTTATTTTAATCTGTCACTTCACCGATGACTTAGCTATCTTTATTTACTGGATAGGAAATGACAATGACCGACATAGAATGGTGTGGATATAAAAACTAGTCATAAAAACGCAGGTCAATTTGACATCATAATATAATGCATATGTCATCTGAATTAATTTGTTGAGTGCATCGTCATTGATTGTTTTGAATTCCAAGACTGTGAAAGAATTAATAAGTGCATCACAAGCAGCCGGTTTAAGAGTTGTTGCCACAATGTGTGACCAGGCGGCAAAAAAAAAATCGGTCAAAAGCGAATTGCAGCCACAGACCAGGGAAATCTACATCAAAAACAACACAGAAACAGAAATTTTGGTTTTGTTGGAGATAAACAACCTAGTGCCACTGTATGATGCTCCATAATACATGCTCGAGGGAAATTACTTGATCAAATATGACAGTCATTCAAATGGAAAAATGGACCTTTTCAAAAAGCAAATTGGAAATTTTTTCAGTTAGCTTATGAGTCAGATACGCCAAATCATCTAGATTATAGACTATTTTATTCATTAAGTGATTCTCACAAATATATGAAAATAAAATGTATAAAATTTTAGTTTATAAAGTTTTGGAGCACTGTTTTATTTTGAAATAATTGAAATGTCAAACCAGTCATTTGAAACCGAGATTCAAACGGCCCGCCAAATATTAGTTCAACGACTACACCGCTATGGCAGCACCGTCGGAAATGTCACTGGGCGACTACAACAGAAGTGAGCGTTCTATATCAAGAATATAAATCACTTTTCTATGCTGCCGACTTCAATGTGTCATTCAATAATTCCTTTTGTGAGCCAAAATAGCGCCCGCCACAGTCAATTTTGGGTCGGCACTAAAGCGGCACAGTCAACTGTGGCCGTATTTCAATAATTCCCTATTGGTTTTGTCTCCTTCCATTGTGAACTTAATAATAATAATAATAATTCACACACTGTAATGCGTCAAGTGCTGACACTGTTTCTTGATGTAGCGGATTCCACTATACAGTTAACTATTCACTTTTTTCATGGAAATTTTGAGTTTTGCAGATCTCTCCTTTTATAGTTTCTTTGAATGTCCTTGGAGGTGAGTATTTTGACTTGGGTGGAAAATGTTTGTCATCCACCTTTAGAAGGTGGCTTTGAATTATAAATGTTACAATAAACAATGTAAGGCTGAGGGTTCTATATTTTACTAAGAATCTTTTTGTTTCAGGACTAGCTGATTTGTACACAGCATTAGTTTGGGAAAGTACTCTTTTATTGGCCTATTGCAGTGACGATTTGATTCCATCGGAATGTGATTTCACCCGAGAAAGTATTGAAAAACTGAACCAATTTTTTGACAGGGTAAGAAAATTTCCATCTAGCCAAATGTTTATTTAAGGCGACCATTTTGGAATTTACATTGAAATTATAGAAACTTAAAAAGTGGAATCTATTATTTATTAGAGCCAGTTGGTGTTACATAATATATTTTCAAAAATTTAGGTAGTAAAAAGTTCCTTTTGTTCTAGTGTGAAACTACTCAACATGTAACTGAAATTCCCTCCAATCATTCTTCTGGAATAGATGTTGGTGTTGTGCCTATGGATATTGATGGAAATGAATATTCGAAATCTGACAGTAGAAATTTAAAATATATAAAACCACTATTGGGAGCTTCCTCTCGCCTGGGACGTGCTTTAGCCGAATTATTTGGGCTTTTGGTAAAACTATGTGTGGGTTCTCCAGTTAGACAGAGGAGGGGTCAGAATATTATAACTGCACCTCCTGTTCCTACCGTCCATGCCAAAAAGGTGAGAAGTATTGTTTATTTTATTTTTAACCCTAGGGCAGGCGCGCATTTGAAAATCACATAAGCGGGCGCGCTGCGTGCCGCCAACAGAAAAATGTACGAAAAAATTGAAAACATCAAAATTTATTTTTCAATAGAGTAAAAAAATAAAATAAATTGTAATTCTAAACAACTAAATGAAATCCTTAATACTAATTTCGCAAAAACACAAAAATAATATTCATAATATTCAAATACAACCTATAAATTTCAAATTTTACCAACATAAAAAAATCAAAAAACTTCTTCCTGATCTTTTTCCTCCACTGTAGGAAAATATTTCTGGCAGGTAACAGTCTCAGTACTACTATTCCCCTTGTAATTTTACTTACATGACCAGGCGCGCTGGCGGCACGGAATGCCGAAAACTCAACACCTGTAAGTTCAAGAACTCACTGACATCTGAAAAAGCGCTCTAAGGTCGTACATTGTGCGTAATAGGTTTCCTAATATAGTCATTTGAGCATAGCTAGACGGACAATATGATAAGATCAACTATATTTGCGGAATCCTTGAATTAGTAAAAAGGCGGCATAGAGGGCCGATAGCGCGCCTGCCCGAGGGTTAATTAAAAACACTGGTTTTTAAATATTCTGGTTAAAGCTGAAATTGAGGTTTCAGAAAAATTATTATTATTTTCAAGAGTGAATATGATTAATATCAAATTAGGAAATTATTACCCATAGAAAAATACCTACACCTAATTATTTGTTGTTTTAAAAAACAAAAATGAATTTATCACTTTATTGTTTGGTCATAGTATTTCACCTTATTTGTGTATCGCCTCGAAGGTATATTGTCAATAATTGATTTTCAGGACTCTGTGTTTCACAACTTATCCAAAAGCTTTCAACTTCTAAGTAAGAAGTCGATTTCTTGAATAAAAAAATCTTACCAAAAATACTTTAAAATTTTCTAAACTTCAATAATCGAAAATAAGGAATTAGGTTCTGGTTTCAGGTTGATTATAATATAGACCATTGCAAAAAAAAACTGACATAACAAAACGGAAAGTTTTTTTTTGCATTTTAATATCAAGTAAAACTATGACTTTTCTCCGCCTCTAAAGTTGTCTAGGGAATTCGCTTCCGTTTGCCTCGAATTTGCGGGATTATTTTATGGTAAAATTCCGTTTGGAAATTTTCTAGTTATCAGGCAGTGTTGCAAGATTGTACACAATTTCCCTAACTTGTGAGAAATCTAACAATATTATCCCTTTCAGTACGGCGGGTTTTCCGAAAATTTGTGCCCCACAGACGGAGTCTTTGACCGTGCCGCACGGACGGGTGTCGACTATATGCGACATTAAAATATTACGTAGTTCTTCAGCATTAGATAATCCGCAATTGCTATTGTAACTTGTTTTTTGTTTTTTTGCTCCTGGAACGATCCTTGAGGGACCAGCTATATTCTCTGACGACATCTTGAGCCTTATTGGCGCAAAAATACAAACGGATGTCGCATATGATCGACAGTGATGACTATATGTGGCTGTCGCCCTGGACTTGCAAGGTGGCTGGACGTCGCATATGAACGACAGTGTCGACTATATGTGGCAGCCGCCTGAGCGTTTAGCATACGGTGGACGCAAATGTAGCGACAGCAGTCTGTACGCCAAATCTAAAAATTGAATGCGTCGCTTCCCAACCGACGGTCATCCGGGAGACAGAATACATGCCGTCGACCATATGCGACAGCCGTTTGTGTGGCACGTTTCCTCGGTGTCGCATAGGCTGCGTCAGCCGTACTGAAAGGGTGATACAAGAAATATTCTTGGATTTTTTCATAGAATCCAGGGCGGAAAGGAGCAAGCATGGAGATTTAGGAAGTTGGTCAAGAGGCTGTTGCTAACTAAGGTATATTACACCTTGGACGAATTTTTTTACCGATCCCTTAAGTTAAGTTTTATCGTATTTGACTGTTATTGTCTATGTGTTCCTTTTGACAGTTTATTTTCTCATACATCTATATGTTATTTTTCTTTGTCTTGTTATGCCCATAAGACATTATTTTTAGGATTTACTCATGTTTCAATTTCTTTATTTATTTCAATTTACTACAAATGTGGATCACTTTTACTCCTTCTATACATAACAATCCTTTTGATGCTTTCTTTATATGCATATACAGGTTTGGCAAGTCAACATCTTACTGGCTAATATTGCAATAGAATGAAATGTCTAGAAAAAGTCTAAGATTGAATAGAGAACCAAAACGATTTTCCCTGTTCCACCTCCAACATATAGCGCTGGGAATGCTGGAGGTGAAACAAGAGAAATCCTGTTCGTTCTCTATTTAACCCTAGACTTTTTCTAGTCATATTTTCATCCTATTGCATTAAAATCGGCCCGTAAGACATTGACTTGCCAAACCTGTATCAAGGTTTTGCGGACAACAAAATTTTTGTTAAATGCGAATAAAGCTACTTTCGACTTTAACTTAAACTAACTGAGCTGTTTTTCAAGTGGATTGCTCCCACACCTAATAGATCTCCATATATTTCTCCTGGGCCCGGCAATTTTCCATTTTTTAAAAACCGCCTCTGTTTTTTGACTTTTTTCTTTATCACTCTTATTGTTGATCCTGCGGTTTTTAGGTTTTGTGTCTTCACTTTCTTCTTTAAAATCTGCCTGTTGTTCTGTCAGTTATACTCTTCTTGGGGTGTTATTAAGGTTACAATATCTTTTTTTTGTTTGTTTGATGTCCTAAGTTTTCTAGTATTCTCCAATTTTCTGCGTTTCTTTAAACTTCCACTTGAGTATCAATATGCCAAATGAAACAAGTTATGGGATAACTCGTTTATTTTTTATTTTTTTTCCTTACTCTAGCTTGTGCTTTATATTTATTTCTTTGTGTCCTCTTTCATTCGAGCAGGGTACTGTTAATATTTCTTCCTTTTGAATTTCCTCATCCCACCAATAAGGTTTTAGTGCTCTTTATTTTTTTCTTATTGGTCTAAGACACTGTGAATATTTTTTTTTGATATGCTTTTCAAGGTTTTGGAAGTTTAGATTTTTGGTCCAACTTTTTCATGTATGAGCTGCATTAATAAGTGGATCCTTGGCCTGACCGTTGAAATAAATATGCATGAATAAATATGACTGGAGAATGGTATAAACCATATTCAAACGTTTCCATAAATAATTTCAAATTTTTGTATCCCAATGTAATTTCTGTATTATCCAGGTTAAGTGTATTATTTTGTGTACGGTATAAGTGAGATTTACTGAATGTAGTTAAACATTTTCCAGTCAAGTTGGGAAATTCTGTGTAAAATGAAAACAACATTGTTGTTTTTTTTTTTTCAGGTGGCACTAGCTCTAAACCAACTGCTTGCGAAAGGTTTAGACTGTGATTCTCTTCCCCCATGTCCTACACCAAAATGTCGACTCACATTTTTGATTTGCAGTGTTGGATTTACAAGTCCAATGTTATTTGATGAACGACGTTTCCCATATTATTTGATGTTGAAAAAGTTTGTTAGTATGGGTGGTCAAGCTACATTTTTCAAAACGTTTAAATGGGCATTGGGTGCTGATGAAGGTCCTAGTGATGTCAACGCATTGCCAGAAGGCACACTTGGATTTTTGGATGCCTGGTTAACTTTATTGGAAAAAATGGTTAACCCTAAAACTATTTTAGAGAGTCCTCATGTTGTTTCAACTAGACCCAACGCAACATACCGTTTCGATCCTATTAAATATTTGATACAAATTCATAGGCTTGCATTTGATAGTATTGAAAAATTATGGAAACATACGCCAATTACGTCTTATGGTAATCGCATTGCTGATACAATATTGACCATCCTGAGACACATATATTGGGGTGAAAAAATTATTAAAGAAAAATTGAAGCCAGAAGATACCAGACCTACTACTAGTGCTACAACTACTGATCAACCATCTACTAGTAATAATGGATTTGTAGCAGTCAGAGATAGTGAAGTTAATTTGCGCCAGTTAGAGGATATGGGTTTTTCTCGTGAGAATGCAATAGACGCATTGCTTCATTCCTCTAGTGTCGAGCAAGCTACAGATTACCTATTATCGAATCCTCCACAGGCGGCAAGAGCCTCTACGTCCGCTGTGGATTCGGAAACAGTTGAGGACGATCAAGTTTTACAAGCCATCGCTATGTCTCTAAGTGATAATAGTAATTCTGAAAATCCCCATGCTACTTTTGAGGAATTACAAGCACTGCTAGACGAATTTACAACAAGTGCTCTTAATATGTGCTTGGACCTTTTAAATAAGATGCCGGATTTGGTTCATAAGACTTGTGAACTTTTGGTGACTATAATGAAACGAAATGGCAAAGAATATAGAGATTCTGTTTTACAAGAAATTGCAGGGCATATTCTTAAGAACGCTATGGATATTTACTCCGCCACAGTTAACAAATGTCCCGGTAAAATTGCCTTTGATGCAATGGTTGATACAGTTTCTTGTAAACGTTTAGCCAATTACACTCATCTCTTTATTTTGTTTTATGAAGTGGGATTTTATTATGAAATGAAATTGCCTTTTTTGGCACTCTATGGCTCGGAAACTATAAACTTAATAATAAGATTGATAAAAAAGGCCCAACATATAATATTTAGAGTTTTCAAAAATACTAGAGATATTCCAGAACCGAAGTGGCTGGCTTCAAGCTTATTGCTCGTCGACGCATATTTGAAAGTTGCTAATCGTACTGATCGTAAATGTAAAATGCACATCAGTACCAATAGGGTGTGGCGCTGGTATGATTTGGTCACCGGTAAATGGACACATTACTCTGCCGCAAATAATTTAGCTATAAACGAAGCTTACTGGTCCGGAGAACAGAGTGTAAAAATCACTTATAACCGCAAAAGATACACGATCACTTTTCCATACATGCTACAAATGAATGACGAAACTGGCAACAATAGACCCATTGCTATGACTCTTTTGTCATTCACCCATCCTAGTTGCACTGACATAAACGAGAAAGTACCTAAGGATACTCTATTTGCAGAATTGACTGAGAAAGAGGCTCTTCGATGTACTCCTGTTCCATCAATGCCAAGATTTGAAAAAAGATTAATTTTGAAATCCTGCGTTAATATGCTACACATGCCTTTGGAACGAGACCTGTTGCACTCTATTTTACAAATATGTGTAAGATTCACCAGAGAATTCAAAATGGCTAAAGAATTCGTTCGTGAGGGCGGTGTTAAATGTTTGCTTTCAATAAGGCATATTGCTGATTTTGGAGGGTTTGGAGTACTAGCTACAATTTTAATTCGTCATGCTTTAGAAGAACCTGACACTCTTGCTTTTGCAATGGAAAAAGTAATTAGAGGAAGAATTTTGACCTCAATTCCACCTCCTTACCGGGACCTAGTCTATTTAACTAGACAATTTGGAGCCGCAGTAACTCGAGACCCGAATATGTTTTTCAAAGTTGCTAGAAACATTCTTCGAGTTGATATTTCTGCTTGTAAACCTGGCGATTCACTTGATGTTGTTCTTCCTATCAAAGCTGAACCACCTGCAATATATAAAGCCCCTGATTACGATGAGCCAGTATCGATTCAAGTCATTTGCGATTTGTTGGATGCACTTTTAATGCCGCTATTTGAAAAATCAACAGTGGGGACTAAAACTAGTAAAAAGGAATCTAACAAACCTGATACTTCAACTGCCGGGGATTCACTTGCTTCAAACATAGCTGGCCCTTCCACTTCAAATGCTACCACTAGCAATACAGATAAAACTAAAGACAGCTCTAAGACATCTGACGAGGAGGTAATTGAATCTAAGCCTATGCTCCCCAAGTCGGTGGTCCTTAAAATCTTAGCTGATGCAGTCATTTCCTATGCGCCTATTGCCGAATTAATTACAGAGCACATCTATGAAGCTGGATGCCATCCTATAATAAAAAAAGATACCTCAGCCCTTGCTTTTATTTTTGATAAAATTCTTCCAGAAACGGAAAATCTTTCTGATTCTGATTGTTCTTCTATGTGCCGCATATTAATAGCTGCTTTGGCATCAGCAAACCATTCATCTGAAGCCCAGCTTACACTCGTAAACGAAGTAAAGTGTGCGTTGTACAGAGCTGTCCATTTACCAGAATCATCAGAAAAACATAGTCAGATCCAGCACATTTGTGGAATTATTTATACTATGATTGATAATTGTCCCATGCATCCAAGAGCTTTGCCTAATGTGTCACCTGTGAATAATATTATTAAGGTAAACTAGTATTTATTTTTTTTCTAGTTTCAGTTCGAAAGTATTTTATTTCTAGATACTGATACGAAGAGGGTTATTTAGTGATTTAGCTAAAATTTCCCATTTCTTGGACCTTTCCTCTCCACATATATCTTTTACACTAAATGCAGCTTTAAAACCAATGGAATCTCTTTCTAGAAGTATAAACATGCCAAATCCAAGTACTACTACAGTTAGAGGAAGAAGGGTAGGTATTATATTTAGAGCTTTTCAAAGGATATTTTATATTAATTTAAAAAACATTTTTAGACATCCACTGGTACCCGTGAAGACCATCGCTCTGCATCGGGAAACCCACAACACGTACAAATAGAAGAAGATTTGGAGAATGTTGATGACGGTCAAGCAGAAGCTACTATAGATAGAAGAGATGCAGATGGCGAACGTGATAGGTTGGAAGAAATTATGGAACAAATTTTGGAAGCTGAAACAGAACGGGCGGTACCCATGGAAGGTGGACCTCTAGGTTTTAATCCAGAAGCAGATCCTACGGTAATAGAGTTACACACAAAAATTTTGGTGTGGAGAATAGATGAGGAATTTAAAAATTTTTAGGAAGAAATGATTAGTACAGATTCAGGTGAATCTGACTCAAATCCTTCAGATGATAATGATGAAGATGGTAATAATGATGATGATAATGGAGCAGACGCCAACATCGAAGACAATGATGGTAATAATGATGGTAACAATGATGGAGGTCGTAATAATGGTGAAAGAAGAATTAGAGGTAAGAGAATTGCCTTTGAGTATTTTCTCTTTGTTAATATATGGGTATCACTCGTAGGCATATCATTAATAACAACCCGTTTTGTCTATTTTATTATATGTTGAATTTTACCTAAAACTCACCTCCCTCGTTTCGGGGAATTTTCCCAAACTCTTCCATTTCTAAGAAAAATTTTTGTGGCAAGTTTCAAAATTACCATGTTGTATACACAGGGTGTTTTCTTAACATGCGGTAGATATTCAAGGGGTTATTCCTTTATTTTTGTGAAGAATATTAGTAGAAAGATGTTTCCTAAAGGGAGTTACGCCCCTTTAAATAGGACGCCTTGAAGACCGTTTTTCCTCAATATTTTCGAAACTGTTCAACTTTTTATAGCCCCTGAACTATTAGAGGAAACGCCTGGTTTATTTAGACTCGGTACTAATGAAAGAGGAGATGAAGATGTACTAATGATACATTATGATGCAGAAGATGCAAATCCATGGCCGAGATTTATCAGATACAATGATAACAGGTTTTCTGTTCCTGTGTTGGACGAAAATTCTGGTGACCAAGGTATGTTTTTGCTTTTATTAGATAATTTAGGACTAATTAATATTTTCCAAAAATGTTCTTAGTTATCATCCATCCTCTATTATTATCAAGAAATACCGACTCTAACCATCCAGTGACTCGGACTCAACGTACAACTCGTCCTAGAAGATATCAATACCTATTTGACGCAAGAAATCCTAACCCGCCTGTGATATTGCAAAGGTAATGTGTATTTTATTTTAAACAAATATTTTTAAAAAAAATTATTTTGTAGATTATTGGGAACACACGATCCACACGCTATGGCTAATATGATGACTGCCAATAATATTTTGGCAGGGCCTGCAGAAGTTACCAGGGAACAAGCCAGAGTCGTTATTATGGATAATTTTGGAATTATTCCTTCCAACGAGGAGCAAATCGACTTTGTGGATCAATCTGGTTATATGTTTGGACCGAGTCTAGCCGCTACGTTGAATTACGTTCCTCCAGTAGTACATTGGTGGAATATGGAATCGAAAATATTAGATATGGAGTCAGTGTTTGATTGTACTGCTTGGATTTGCAATAGATTAATACCAATCCTGATAAGACACAGAAATAACGACTTAAGATTAAGTCAAGCCACACAGGAGAAAATTAAAAAACCAAAAACAAAGCCAGTGGCAGAGTTATCTGGACAGTCAGGGGAGTTTCTTGTGTTTAATTTTGATGGAGGTAAGACTAATTTTTTATCTATTGTATGTACAGGTTTGACATTTTGGCTGGGATTACCGAAATTCATGATTTCTAACTGCTAATTGGGATTTCATGCTAAGGGATATGACCTCCGGCGGACGATTGCGGAACTAATCTTTCGTACATTACATTGGTTGGAATTATTTGCTTATGTTTGCAGTTTGCCTGGTGCTGTTTGCTGAAATGTCTTGTTACAAGCTTGCCAACCATTATTGTTGTTGTTGTCGTTATCATTCATGGGCGAAATAGGCCCCTGAAAAAAAATTGAGTTGTCATGGTTTTCCTAAAGAAAAATGTATCTTCTGACAGCATTCTCATGTACTTTTTTTCTTGTCGAACAAATTTGTTGCTAAGGGCAACATCAACAGCATCACTTTACATAAGAATTTGATAACAACATGATCCAGGAATGTTATGCTTTCGCCATCTGTGTGAATTTTGAACCAATGTGTACAGGGTTATCCAACGAAAGTGCTTTTTACCTTATATACCTGTTAATTGGAGAGGTACAAAAAAATGGTAAATATAAAAGTTGTTGGGATTTTTATGAGGAATTAGGAGCATTTTGTTTAAAAAAAATGGAAAGGCGGGCTTAGAAAATATAGCAAATGGAATAACCCATTTTTGAATATGTTTTTGGATTTTACATTAAATTTTAGCCCTGATATATGTTACATGTCCTATAATTAAATTCAGCAATTTTGGAGATATTGCTAATCAATGATTTTTCAATATAAATTACGAAAAAAATTATATTTCATCGTTGGAAGCTGGTAAGAGTAGTAAGTTCCCGTAAGTTCCCGTCTAGTCTTGCTTATTACTATTGTTTATGATCATTATATTGAAAGTGTGTCCAATATTAGAAGAAATTTGCAAAATTTTGCTTAAATCCAGCTTCACCTGATTCACCTTTTACGTAATTTACCTTGGTAAAAAGTGAACCAGGTGAGGCTGGATTAAAGCAAAATTTACCGTATTTGATCTAATATTGGACACATTTTCGATATAATAATTAAAAACAATAGTAATAAGCAAGACTAGACGGGAACGTACTAATCTTACCAGCTTCCAACGATGAAATATCATTTTTTTCGTAATTTATTTTGAAAAATCATTAATTAGTGATATCTCCAAAATTGCTACATTTAACTATAGGACATGTAACATACAACAGGGCTCAAATTCAATGTAGAATCCAAAAACATATTCTAAAATGGGTCATTCCATTTAAATTAAGCAAGAAATGTTAAATTTCTTGCTATATTTTCTAAACCCGCCTTTCCATTTTTTTTTTAACAAAATGCTCCTAATTCCTCATAAAAATCCCAACAACTTTTATAATTAACATTTTTTTGTACCTCTTCAATTAACAGGTATATAAGGTAAAAAGCACTTTTGTTGGAAACCCTGTACAGGGTATTTGATTATATTTGGCACCATACCTACAGCCTTTATTATTTAAGATAGAAAAAAAATTAAATACAAAACTTGACAGTTTTTTTTCTACACGAAAGGTTTGTTACAAACTTCTAGGGATGGTAGATCTCGTAAAAATAAAGCTTTTTTCTTGATAAACATGTATCCGGAAATGCTTCGCTTTCCAGATACAGGGTGTTAAACTTTGTAAAAAAAATCCAATTTTTTTATTAATTCTTAGAAATGCGTTGTACGAATTAAATGGAATTTTCATAGTTTGTTGACACCTTTATGAGGTATCTTTTGGACTGCTCAGAGTTGACCCAGTAATTCCAGGGACGTGCCACAGGTTTTGTGGGATGGTTTTTTTGCACGAAAAACATCGTCCAGTAGATTTATTTTCAATTAAGATATGTTTTTTTCAATAGAACATTTAAAGATACAACTTTTTTATCTCCTTATTTTTTTCCGTATGCTGCTTAGTTTTCGAGATAAAATTTAAAAACCATTTTAGGCTAACCACGAACGGCACTGACCTCCATAAATAAAAAATAAATTGCCACAGAATTACCTGAAAGTTTACCAGGCTATTTGTTGCTTAAAAATAAACAAAAAACTTCTTTTCTAAAACGCTCGCACTTCTGAGAATTAATGTAAAAATTGATTTTTTTCACAAAGTTTGACACCCTGTATACAGGGTGCCCCACGGTGGATGGCGTATCAGACGTTTATGGAGAACTAAAAAGCAGATCATTTCGAAAATTTGGCTACCGGGATGAACGACCATAATCTACACTTCAAAAATATTTTTGTTTATGCGGTGTTGCCGCTTCTACTCTCAACCAGTGGCAACATCACTATTTTAAATGAAATACCCTGTATGTGATTGCATATTTGGATTCTACGTAAAATTCTGAGCAGATTTCATGTGATAAACCCTATACCTAAGTTCAACTGTTTTGGAAATATTGACAGTTGAAAATTGACTTTTTGCAACTTTGACAGGCTGTAAAACCTGAACGGTTACTTTTAGAGGAAAACCGATTTCACATTCCTGTCTTAGATTTTTATAAACTATCATTTGACACCAACTTTGAATTTAATCCATGATTAAAAATTCCAATTAAATTTAATCTCCGATTAAATTCAAAGTTGGTGCCAAATGATAGTTTATAAAAATAATCTAACATAGGAATGTAAAACCAGTTTTCCTCTAAAATTAACCGTTCAGGTTTTACAGCCTGTCAAAGTTGCAAAAAGTCAATTTTTAACTGGCAATATTTCCAAAACAGTTGAACTTAGGTATAGAGTATATCACATGAAATCTGCTCAGAATTTTACGTAGAATCCAAATATTCAATCACATACAGGGTGTTTCATTTAAAATAGCGATGTTGCCACTGGTTTAGAGTAGAAGCGGCAACATCGCATAAATAAAAATATTTTTAAAGTGTAGATTAGGGTTGTTTATCTTGGTTGCCAAATTTTCAAAATGATCCGCTCTTCAGTTTTCCATTAACGTCTAGTACGCCATCCACCGTGGGACACCCTGTATCTGGAAAACGAAGCATTTCCGGACACATGTTTATTAATAAAAAGATTTATTTTCACGAGATCTACCCCAAACCTGTCGTGACACCCTGTATATTTTCTTTTAACGTTATCAGAAAAAACAAAATCGCATCGGAAAAGGGAGAAACGTAGACGACTTCAACTTTTTTTAATGGAACACCCTGTATATTTTGCGATAAAATGAAAGATCTTTTCTTCCTGATTCCAAATATATACAGGGTGTCCCACAATCAGCGTTACAGGCCATAACTTTCTTATTTTTAGAAATAAAAATTTGAAAAAAAAAATGACTAATGGTTAGTTAAGCTCTCTTCAAAAATATAAAAAAATCTTCCCTTGACAAAATCATCCCCTATTTACAACCCTTCACTTTCTTTTTTCAAATGGCACCCCTAATTTTTTTTTTTTATTTTTGGGAAGTTCATGAAATTGCAAATTCACTGATGTATGAAAAGTTTGTTTTTCTATGTTTCGTTGGAAAAAAAATCAAAAATGAAAATAATGATAATGGGGTTCTATTTGAAAAAAAAGGCAAGAGTTGTTTTTAGGGGATGAGTTTGTTAGGGAAGATTTTTTAAATATTCTTGAAAAGGGGTTAATTTGCACACAATTAATTTTTTTTTGTCATATTTTTATTTTTGTAGACAAAAATGTGATTGTCTGTATAAGACTAAGGATGGGACACCCATTTTTTTTCCCCCAAGAGACATGGAAAAACAAACTTTTTATACACCATACAAATTTATAATTTCATAAGCTTCTCAAAAAAAAAAAAAAAATAGGGGTGCCATTTGAAAAAAAAAAGTCAAGGGTTGTAAATAGGGGATGATTTTTTCAAGGGATGATTTTTTTATAATTTTGAAGAGAGCTTAATTAGCCATTAATAATTTTTTTTGTTTCAAATTTTTATTTTTGAAAATAAGAAAGTTATGGCCTGTAACGTTGATTGTGGGACACCCTGTATACAGGGTGTATATTTTAAGTGATACCAATATTGCTATATCCGAAACGGTAAGACCTACAAGGTCGGTTAAATTAGAAAAAAATTGCCTTTTTTGATGCCCAGTTAAAACTCATTTACAGTGTTGCCAAATTCATTTTAGTTTATGAAATACAGGGTGAGTTCTAAGAAACGCCCAAAAATAATTCATCAATTATTTCGAAAACTATTGATTTTTGAAACACAATTTAAATTTAAAAGTTTTATAAGTTTTTTCGCTCCACAACATGGTATCTTCAAATTTCAAATCCGACGTTTCGTGATCGAGCTACCATCATCAACTTCATTTTTTTAAATATGGACCTGATTTTGTTATATCAGTTTTAAAAAGCTTCCTTCAATACCTTTGTAAAAATGACATAAAAAATCGGGGTCCGTATTTAAAAAAATGAAGTTGATGATGGTAGCTCGATCACGAAACGTCGGATTTAAAATTTGAAGATGCCATACTGTAGAGCGAAAAAAATTATAAAACTTTCAAATTTAAATTGTGTCTTGAATATCAATAGTTTTCGAAATAATTGATGAAATAATTTTGGGCGTTTTTTAAAAATCACCCTGTATTTCGTTAACTAAAAGGAATTTGGCATAACTGTAAACAAGTCTTGAATGAGCATCAAAAAAGGCGATTTTTTTCTAATTTAACCGAACTTGTAGCTCTTACCGTTTCGGATATACACCCTGTATATTGATCACATTTGAGCGAGCCGTTTTTGACATATGTTGACTTAAATTATAAATAATTTGCAAAGAAATTTCATAAGGATGTCAAGACATTTAAATCCTTATAAAATTTCTTTGGATTTTATTTATAATTTAACCTAGATATATCAAAAACGGCTTACCCAAATGTGATCAATATACAGGGTTCGTTCATTGAAAAAAATCGCTCGGACCCGTCGATTTTTATTCGGAGGGTGAAATCTTTTGCACATATTTTCAATGTTGTCACTTCACACCCCTCTCGCGGGGGTAAGCTCCAACCCTTAAATCTTAAATGGCAGTAGGGGTCGAGCGATACCTCATTTCAAAGTTCATCGAATTCTCTTTTCAACGGTGCCTGTTTTTTTGAATTTACTAATTTTTTTTTTTCAAAATTTTTTTAAAATTGGAATGTATTTAGTTGAATTTTATTGAGTGATTAAAAAAAACCTAGACTTAAACCTTGTGATTTCAAGTTGGATAGCACACAACTTTAAAAAAAAACACATAAAATCACTTCTTAAGTAAAAAATTTCATAACTACAAAATTGATAGTGCTCAAAAATGACTAAAACATAGTTCCGTCTATTTTTAAATGCGTTTTCTCGAAAACCACTGCATCAAATTCAAAAAAATAGGCACCGTTGAAAAGAGAATTCGATGACCTTTGAAATGAGGTATCGCTTGACCCCTACTGCCATTTGAGATTTAAGGGTTGGAGCTTACCCCCGCGAGAGGGGTGAAATGACAACATTGAAAATATGTGCAAAAGATTTCCCCCTCCGAATAAAAATCGACGGGTCCGAGCGATGTTTTTCAATGAACGATAAATACGAGATATCGACCTTGTTTCGTTTTCGCTGGCCCACCCGGCATATATTTGGAATCAGGAAGAAAAGATCTTTCATTTTATCGCACAATATACAGGGTGTTCCATTAAAAAAAGCCGAAGTTGCCTACGTTTCTCCATTATCCGATGCGATTTTGTTTTTGCTGATAACGTTAAAAGAGAATATAGAAAAAAAACTGTCAAGTTTTGTGTTTAAATTTTTTTTCTATTTTAAATAATAAAGGCTGTAGGTATGGTGCCAAATATAATCAAATACCCTGTACAGGGTGTCGCAAATTCGAGGGTGACCATTGAGATATCGGAAACTATTAGAGATACGAGGTTGGTTAAATTATGGCAAAGTTGCGCAATTTTTTGACCAATAAAATGCCGTTTTGAAATTTGAAAAATTCCTAATACTTCCGAAGATATTTGGGAAAAACCGAAATTTTCCAAAATCATTTAATTTTTTTCTGAATATATTTGAAGAGCAATTTTAAAATAAATGTCACTTCATCATTGTCACATTTTTCCCTTTACAAGATGTTGCTACCAAATTTCAGATTCGACGTTTCGTCTTTGGGCGGCCATCATCAAGTTTATTTTTCTAAATACGGACCCTTATTTTTTATTTCAGATTTTTAGAGCTTTTGATGTCCCAAAACCTATGACGTATCGTATTTATTCGAAAAATTTATATTATTGGCACTTTCCATAAGAACTAAATGTGTTAGAGAGAGACAGAGAAGAACATTTTGGCAGGAAATTACTAAAAAGTAATTTTCGAATAAATGCGTTACGTCATAGGTTTTGGGATACCAGAAGCTCTTAAAATATGGAATAAAAAATCAAGCGTCGTATTTGAAAAAATAAAGTTGATGATGGTCGCCCAAAGACGAAACGTCGAATCTGAAATTTTGTAGCATCATCTTGTAAAGAGGAAAAAGTGACAACGATGAAGTGACATTTATTTTAAAATTGCTCTTCAAATAGACTCAGTAAAAAATAAAAATGATTTTGCAAAATTTCGGTTTTTCTCGAATATCTTCGGAAGTATTCGGAATTTTTCAAATTTCAAAACGGCATTTTATTAGTAATAAAATTGCGCAACTTTGCCATAATTTAACCGACCTCGTATCTCTTATAGTTTCCGATATCTCAATGGTCACCCTCGAATTTGAGACACCCTGTACATTTGCCACATATTATCTTATAAAATTGTCACAATTTGTGTAGCGTTATTGGGGATTTCAATATTGGCAATTATCAGTTTATATTTCTAAATATCTGTATTAACTCGGCTTTCTGAACATCCATTCCTAGAATATAGTTTTTTTAATACCCATTTCGAATAACCCCATCCTTGTTTTATCAATCATGAATCAGATGATACAAAAAATTACCAACCAATGACAAATCACTAAAATGGTTAACGACTGGTAATTCCAAATATGTAGGTATTTAAAATACTATATCTATTATATGAAAATCAATGTTTGTTTGTTCATTGTTTATGGACTCGGAAACTGCTGGACCGATCTCCTTTATATTTATACCACGTAGTCTCTATATAAAGGGGAGTGTTATAGGCTACTTTTCATCTCGGAAAAATGCACAATTCCTGTGGGATAGATCTGAAGTGGAAAGCTTGGGTTAGTTTAAAACAATTGTTTTCGGTGAGGCATAGCAACGCACGTAGGGTACAGCTAGTATCCTATAAACCATGTTGTTTTCAAATTTTCTTGTTTACAACAAATCCTATTCCTACCTACGTGCTTCGCGATGGCATAATTTGGCAAATTTTCGATATAATAGGTACTGCAACATAGAATCTCTTACATCATCACTGCTTGGTACTTTTCTCATACAACAGACCTTTCTTATTCGACCAGGCGCAGGTCTGTTGTGTTTTCGATGTCCTTTAATTTGTACAGATTTTTCATGGAACAAAATAAAATAAAGATCTAAACCACATCGTAGAGTATCTTGTATTTAATTGATTTCACGGGGTACCTATGTAAAAGTCTTAGAAAACACATCTGGTCAATGCAGTTGGACTCTAGTTCAGTAACCCATTGTGAATAATCTATCTTTCATGCTTCCATTTAGGTGTCTTTTTTTATTCCGCTCCCTTGTCAATTTGTCAAGGTTGAAATAGAATAATGAGATTTTTTGCTCCAGTATGGGCCTTTTCAAACTTATTCGAGAGTAATGAACTTCTCACACAGGCCACTTGCCTTGTATAAAAACTCTCCTTGTCACATTTCAAAGAAAGTGCAATCAAGAGACATTTTGACAGTGGCCAATTCTGCAAAACAAAGTATGATAGGTACACATGAACACTAAAATCATCATCAATAGGTGATGATTTTAGTGTTTCTTCCCTTAGCATTAAAGGCCAAACAGTTATTGGATCACTCACTCAATTCAGCAATACACGAACTCTGTGTTGGTCTAGTAAAAAGGAAGGGTAACGATAATTACCATAAAAATGATATTTCCATCATATAACAATTCACACACACAATTCTTTTACAACTAAAGACATTGGCATACAGCACTACATTATAGATTTAAAAAAAAAACAGAAAAAATAAACAATAACGTCAATAACGAAGATTTAAAATTTGACTAGAGCTTGAGATCTGTTGGCAGAAAAGCGCATAAATCCTTATCCTCTGGATCTTCAAAATATGTACTCATTAACTGTGTAATAAGCCCTTGTGTTGAAGTTCGGTTATTGGCTTGATTACTGTTGAATTTATCAATATAAATAAATAATACTTAAAAGATCATAAGCTGGACAACTGAGAATATTTTGCAGGAATCTGTAATTATTACATTACTTTTTATGATGATAGTATAGATAAAAACTTCATTTATAGTAGATTCGAGAGTCCAGTCTTCAACCTCATTAGCCCAAGGGCCAGCTCAAGGGCCAGCTCAAGTTCAAGAAGAAGGAGAAGCGGACGCTTCTGACAGTTCCGATTCTGTTGTAATTGGCCTTATACCACAATTAGTGGCCAATTATCCTACTACTCCAAGCTCTGATGGTAGTTCTTCTACTAGAGGTAAATAAAAACATATGGTTCGCAGGTTCCGGCCATTATTTTTTAATCGATTCGGCATTTATATGCAGCAACTTGTATCAATCAAAGATTTGTATGAAGCTACTACTTTTATTTTCACCAATTAAAAATAATATTTCGCTCAAAATTTTAATCTCACGTACGTGCTTGTTTAGTTCGATGATCTTTAGAACGGCGGAGCGTGCTTTGCAAAATACGAGCGACTCTTAACAAGTATTTTATTTTGAATCTTTGAAACAAATAATTTACATGATCATCACCTGTTTGAAATATCTGATTGACTCTCACAAATTTTCCGCATCAATCTAGGCTTGTCTTGGTCATGAATAATTGTTACTACATCTCCTTCCTTTATACTATTAAATGCAGCAATAGCATTATCACTTTGATGAAAGGATCGCAGTTGTTACAAATAGCCTTCTTGCTAGATTTACTAAAATTTAGATAACAGAACCTCTAGTGTCTTCCAAATCATCAGAATATCATTCCGCTTCATCGCAAGAGATTTCAAGTCTTAAGATAACCCAATATCTAAAGGTCCTATTTAAAATTTGGATGGACCTAATATAAATAAATTGGTTGGATCATCCTCAATGTAGGTGACAGGCTTCAATTTTACTAGTTGGTTCAACTGCTGCAATACTCGTTAGTAACTCATTATACTTTATTTATTGTTCGCTCTAAGATATGTTTGAGGCATCCCTTTACAGTTCACACCAGCCTTCCCCAACAACCATACTTTACCGTGCTTCTCTCTCAACACTGAATCTCCACATAATTCTTTTTTGAGTAGCCAGGTCCTGTATCTTCTCGTTTCTTAGAATACTTGTTAGTTCTTGTGATTCTCGATCTGTGCCTGTAAAAGTTTAAGCTGCGTAGTCCTGATACCTAACTCTCTGTTGACAACTTTTCGGCCAATTCCAAATGAACTGCGCACGTAAAGAGCATAATATATACCTTTACCCTTTGTTCACTATCAGATTTCACATATAACGGCCCAGCTAAGTCAATACCAAACACAGTAATGCCATTTTTAAGTTGCCTTCCTTACCGTTTTCTGACTATAGCTAAAGTTACATTAGTTCCAGTTGCCATTTGTTTTTCGTGGAATTGCCAAATAATCATTATAGATAAGCTTTAACGTTTTGGTAATATGACAGGATGTTCTTCATCATGTCAAATTTGTTTTCATAACTTTTTAAAAATCTGAATCACAAATTCAGTAGGTATAGAAAACTTCATATAATTTAAAGTTGCACATATATACATAGGAATAATTAACTTCAAAATTGTTTCGAAAGATATGGAACAAAAGCTAATGGGGGTAAGATTTGCAATTACCAATTACTAATTAAGGTGGGTTTAGCCAACTAATAATGCATAATGCACAATTTTAATTCATAATCGATAATTTTTAAAAGTTCACATTTAAATACACCCGTTTATACAATGCATAGTGGATAGTGGATAATTTAGTGCATAATGCATAATTCATAAAGTTGACCAACTTTTAACTTTTACGAATTATCGATTATGCATTGTGCAAAAAACGCTAGAGCGCAAGCGTATATTTCCAAGTTTGTGTTTTTGTTTTGGTTTTGCTTCATAACCCCAAAATCTGGTTGTGTGTTTTCCTGTTGTTTTCAATGTTTTTTGATCCGGAATCGAGTTTTTCCGATTTTAATTATACAAATCAGATTTTTCCTGATAATATAAAGCCTAATTTATTATTTATTTCATTATTTATTATATCATGAAAAATAACAAATGTCAAACTCAGCTGTCTTGTTAATTCTTAATGCACAAAAATTATGCGTTGTATAAACACCACCTTTCTCTTATGCATTACGCGTTATGAATTACGCATTATCAATTATGAATTAAAATTGTGCATTATCCAATAAGAGTTGGCTAAACCCACTTTTAGTGACTTACCTAGTAGTAAGTTTCACAGATACAAAGAAATATTAGCCCTTTCACATTTATCAACCAATCTAAATAAGTCATTTTTAATCTCTGGTATAAATCATTACTTGGTCCAGCATAGCTAGTCTTTTTTGCAGTTTAGCAAAGATTCTCTTATATTATGCAACATAGTTTTTATCATATTTTGTTGTTTGAGGGTGGTCCATATTTGGTATTTTCAATACTTCTAGGGCCTAGGGCACGTTCAAAATTTGAACAGATTATTTCTGCCGAGTTGCAAACGTCTGATTCCTGGTTCACTCCTTTCATTGCAATTTTTGGAGAGTAAGCGGTTTGTTATTTTGTTTCTTTTATTTTTTTAAAATTTATTTACTTTAGTTCATGACCTTACTTTGGTTCATGGCCTTGTGTTAATTTTGGGATATTAAATAATGTATGCAATGCTTAGGTAGCATTTAGTTGTATAAATGTATAAAAAATTATATTTTTTAGACAATAAAGCACCGGAAGCACCAATGAATATAGGTATGAGAGACCTATTTGTCAAAGAGTGCCCAATGATCGAGTCTACATATTAATATTACCTACCAATCTATCTATATAAAACACAGAAAATGTTTCTTCTCACCTGTCAGTTATAGACTTTGAAATCATCCAACCGATGTGCCCCAAACCGGTTTAATTTGAAAGGAAATAACTCGAAGAGGGCCCCCTCGGCCTGCGCAAAATAACTGAGCGTCTGTGGGGGTTAGGGGGGAGGGCTTTAGGCACATTCGGTTCATTCATGAAGTCGATTTCCGACTTTTCCTATATAAAAATTTTCGACCTCGTTTCACCTGCAACTTTCACATTTACAGGTGGGATGGTTTACAAAATCTAAGTCAATAGGAAAGTATTTCTACAATTTGAAGAGAAAATTAGTTATTGATAAAAAGTTAATAAATAAACAAAATTTGCTTTTTTTCAAGAAATAAATAAAATGTAGGTATTTCTTTTTTTAGCTTAGTAGTACACGCCGGGTATCCGCTAGTCTTTGATAAAAAAAAATAGGTCGAATTGGCGTAATTTCTTAATTTTCCTTTATTTATTTCCTTACATCATTTCAACAATTCAAGAAATGATATAAGTAGATACATTGAAATAACAATACTTTTAAATAAGTTTTAATCATCTTTTAGAAAGAGAAAATGACGATCCACAACAACCACCTGTGCCACTTGCCCCTATCGCGCAAATGACTGATGATTTAGACAGGGAGAGAACAGACACAGACCTAGAGGGAAGAACAAACAGTGGTACAAGTTTATCTGGTAAGAATATTTTAACTTCGGCTATGATGAATTTGATATTAACAAACCACATATTTTCCAATACACGACAAATTTCGAATTTTCCCCCTTTTTATTTTTAAGAGGCCTGGGCTATTCATAAACAACTTGTTCAGGTGAAGCTTTTAGTTTGACATGACTACATGGCCCGATTGTATTCTACCTTGTGTTTGTTAATAACTGGAACACTCGGTAATTTTTTTATTATTGAAAATGAAGGGCATGCTCAAATTGGAAAATTTCTTGGTAAATTGCAACGATTTTCATCCCAACAATATTTTTTGTCGCCATAGGTATACAGGGTGTGCTAAAAAAGTAATTTTTTTCAATGGATCGCCCTGTATACAGTGTGTCCCAAATTGGTGGGGAATGTATTAGGATATAGGAAACTATAACAGATATGAGGGAGGTTAAATGGGAAAATTTTTAGACAATTATGTTAGACGTTTAATAGCGTTTGCAGATCGAGTCTAGCTATTCATATTTTTGACATATTTATACAAAACTGGAAAATTGGTTTTTTGAAAATAGGCTGTAAATCTTTTATTTTTGGAAAATTCTCAAATCTGTAAAAACACTTTAAAAAGAACTGCTGATGATGGTTCCAGAAAACTGAAACGTGCTAAAAAAAATATAATCGCACATGCGTATTCTGCACAAAAAGTTGCTTTGAAAGTGTTGTTACAGATTTGAGAATTTTTCAAAAATAAAAGATTTACAGCCAACATATTTTCAAAAAAACAACTTTTCAGTTTTTCACCTTCCCTGTATCTGTTATAGTTAGCCGTCTAGCAGAGCGTCAGCATATTTATACAGGTTTCCAGGTCGATGTTTAATTTGGAAATCGTATTGCTGCAATTTTTCAATCCATCTAGCAAGCTGTCCTTCAGGAGTTTTCATTTCTAAAAGCCATTTTAGAGCTGCGTGATCCGTTATAGAAGAGGGCAATACATTCCCCATAAATTTGGGACACACTGTATTTTTGTATTTTGTAAATTCTTTGAAAATTAGCTTCACAAAAAATCAACATTATTTGGATACCAATAATATACAGGGTGTTCCATTTAAAAAAACCACTTTTTTTTGCGCACCCTGTTTACTTATGGAGAAAAAAAAATCGTTGTAGCGCATAAGGTTGCAATTTGCCAAGAAATTTTCCAACTTAAACATGCCCTTTATTGTCAATAATAGAAAAGTTACTGAGTGTTATAAACAAACACCCAGTACCTAATTAGATATGATGAAAATTATCTTTTTTTGGGTTAGATTTTCAGTAGAAAGGTATAAAAAATGGCATCCAGTCCCTTAGAATACAGAATTAAATTGGAATTACAAAATTAGGTATTTATAGCTATGAAAAAAATTTAATCGCTCTTTCGCAGGATTTCTCTGGCATTCTTGGGGGAATTAAAAATTTAACATATACTAATAAAATATTTTTCTCAAGTATAGAGTATGTTCAAAATCACAAAATTCCGGCTCTCAAAAACTGACAGATACACTTAGTAAATATCTGCAAAAATCACTTTTAGAGAGAATAGAAGTCATAGAAGAGGTACAACTTTCAGATGCAAGTACAATACATGGCCCATTTCTGCACGACGATTTAGATTTGGAATTGGAATCAATGGAGGTGCGTCGATTATCGAGGATTCAGCAATCTGCGAGATTTACTGATGCATGGGCCGCCCAAGGTTAGAAAATTTCAAGTTTGCCTTTTTATATTTTCCTAATTTCCACTTTTTATACAATATTTTCCGATAGTTTATGCATATATTATCAAATCAAATATATTATATCACCTGAGACCAAAATTACTATCGTCAAATCAAGCATAGGTACCTACTAACCTTTTTTGGATAGATATACAGTAGTTATTATTTGTCCTAATGTTACATACATTTCAAAAACTTATTTTACGTATCTGTATGGGTATTATTTTATTTTTTAACAAAAAGAAAAAATACACCTGCAAATTGAACTAATTCTAACAATACTAAAAGCACTTAAATTAATCCAAACTAACTCTATAACGCCACAGAACATCACAAAGCTTGTCATGGAAAACCAAACACTTTGGCTAGGTCGATAAAAACAGCAGTACGCACAACGGTATTTAAATAATTCGTTATTTTTGTAGGTAATTTATACATAGCATCTCGGTACTGTGGTTTCTTATGAAGTCACACTGATTCTCAGACAATGTATTATTAAGATTAATTTTTCTTTTTAAGTAAGTCTTCTTCAGACGGAGTTATTTTGTCTAATTGGAAATTTAGACATGTTTTTTGTTTCCTCTCGAAATTCGATCAGTATGATTTCGAGAACAATATTCACACGGCATGATTTATTGACAGAACGTGTTCTTCTTGTGGTACCTAATGGCCCTGGAAAATAAAACATCGGATATATTTTAAAAAAATCACTTTTTTTTATTCGTATTTTTTAACTTTCTCACTTTAGCATGTGTATTTAGAGTAGATGAGCAACCGCAAAAACGTATCAGCTCTGATCGACAGATTTTCTTTGCAAAGACGGGTAAATGCAACATTTTAGAAAAGGTCACGTCCGGCCTTGTCTAAAACGTACTGATCAAAACTGGACAGCCTCAAAAGAATTTAGCAGCTTACTAACCCTCCAAAAATAAATCAAATCCGAGTAATATACAGGGTGTAGAAAAAATAGTGTACCGGACATCGAGGGGTGATACTACATATGAAAATCAGATAAAAAGTTCCTATGAACATATGCCCTAAGATGCTCCCTGAAGAAGTTACAGCCCTTGAAACTGTAGATGAAATAATAGATTTTATTTATTTTCAAGAACAGTGGCAAACTATTTTCCTTGAAATTTGGCATTCTCGTATACATTTCGATGCCAAAGCTAATGGTGGTAAAAAAGTCGTAACAGTTCTGAAATGGTAGTTTCCATAAGGGTAGAGGGTAGTTACTCACAAAACAAAAAAACATCATAGGGTTTTTTTTTCTCATTTTCATATGTAGTATCACCCCTCGAAGTCCGGTACACTATTTTTTTTACAACCTGTATGAAAAGTTATAAGTGATGAAAAAGTGGAACTTCAATTTTGCCCACAGTGTAGAATGTCACCATTGTATTTTTACTATACTTGTAGCAGCAAATCAATTAGGCAATCAGTCGTCTTCGCCAGATTCTGATGAAACACAATCACATTCGGCTAGAGAGGAAAACTCATCTAGAGAAACAGAAAACTCGCCCAGGGAAGAAGAAAATACGCCTATAGAACCAGAACAATCGCCTAGAGGAGTAGAAGAGGAAATGGGTATATATGAATAATAAATTATCAATAAAAGTGTTTTATCTTGAAACCTATTCTAGAGAGAGATGATAAAACCTTGACGGAGCAAGAGCTTCAATCTATATTATGTTCTAATCTAGAATTTTTAGCGAGAGAGATGGCAGCTGAGCGTGCAGAATCAGAAAGAATAGGAATTGTTCCAGGTGAGGGTAATTCGAATGTACATTTTAATACAGTAGGCCACCAGCTAAACACACAGTTTCTTCTTAGACGACGCGATTGTTCTGATTTTTATTTGAAACTCAAAATGTACTTTTTTTTATTGCAGATTGTACCACCACAGAGAGCACTGCTGATCCATCTTCCCCTCACGAGCCTGAAAACACTGCTCGCGAAGAAAACCTGTCTAGAGAACAAGAACAATGCCCTAGAGAAGGAGAAATGGGTAAAGATGAAGATTCAATTCTCAATAAAAATATGTTTAAACTTAATTTTTTTTGTAGAGACAGAGACAATGGCCATGATTTCCAGTCGTCCTACCCACAGGCCTTCCAGTCCTGCCATCAGCGCAACTAGCCCTAGCTACGGACATCCTAGTGCCTCCAACAACCTAGCTACCCCTTACTACAGGGACCCCAGTCCCTCCTCCAGCCCAATTATCGCTATCACATCCAGCCCAGCTAGCCCTACTGATTGTAACCCAACAAATCCTGCTGAGTGTGGCCCAACTAAAACTGAGCGCAGCCCAACAAGTACTACTGAGTCCAGCCAAACTAGCCTTGTTGAGAGCATCCAATCTGGCTCTCAGAGCAACCCGACTTCTCCCTCTGGCAATATAGATTTGGTGAATATTCTCACCAACCCAAATAGCCCTTATGACTGCAATGCAGATGCTGCACCAACTGTAGGGTCTGACAATTTACCCGAACCCAGACGAGCTGATCTGACACCTTCTGTGATCTCAATAAGTAGTGGCTCAGATTCTTCTGTGATATTATTGGGAGAATTATCGCAGAACAATGCCGCTGAGCAGAATAATACTCGTGCCCGGGCTAATGCTCCTGTCCAGGCTAATGATGCTGTCCAGAGTGATCCTGCTGTTTTGGCCAATGCTGCAATTCCTATTACTACTGATGTCCAGAGTAATGCTGTTCAGACTGATGCTGTCCAGACTACTGCACTCCAGACCAATGCTTCTGTCCATAATAATGTTGCTGTTCAGGACAATGCGACAGTTCCGGACAGTGAAGAATTTATCATAATATCAGATACCAATTCTGAAACTAGGTCAGTACCTACATCTGGTGTAGTGGGAGATAGGGCAAGGCAGTGACAGTGAAATTCTGATTATATTTAATTTGAATTTCACTGTTACATATTTATAATTTAAATTCCATTCTCTCGTGTTAATTAGACCTCTTTAATACCCAATTTTGAATTAATTTTCTTTATTGGACCCCTTTAAATTTTTGTAAACCAAGTTTGAAGTTGTCTAGTTATGTTAGATTGGACTGTGTACAAGAACAACTCTTGAATGCACTACCCTGCAATTTTAAGCAATTATTTTGTCCTGGTTCAGCTTGGTGATCAGGTTGGATCCGTCTGGCATCGTCGGTTCAAAATCCTATCAACGAGTTCAACAGCCATTATGTGGAAGTTGCATCCTTTTCTACAGGGTGCTTCAAGAACATCAAAACTGAGGCTATTTTAAGGTCGGACAGGTCAATTTTGTATTGAAGGGATCTCTATTTTAGATAGTGAAGATGGGTCAAGTTGTACCTGAATGATTCAGAAGCACACAAAAAATTAAAATTAACGTGTAGGAGGGGAAAGTGTTGATTTGAGAATAACAGGGTCAGATTTTTTTTTTCTTATTTAGCCCATGGCAACTGTGACAGTGAATAAATCATGAATAATCATTCGATTTGAACAAAACGCACTTCGTCGCTTGGTATATGTTTTATTACAGATGACAAGAGTTGACTTTTAATGGTTCCTTGTGTCCTTTGTGCATCCTCTCTGTTGTTCTGTTCAGTACTGATGTTATGAAGGTCCTTTGGTAGAAGTAACATCACACCTTGCGTCTGGAATTGCGGCATATTTTCATCATTATTATTATATAAATACTAAAACTGCAAATGAAATATTTATTATTATTATAGTGGCTCTTCACGTCTCTTTGAATCCCCTAGATCTTTCGTAAGAAGTCCTGGTTCCCAACAAGATGTATATGGAGATGACTTTCATCTGCATTTGGAATATGTGGCTAATAGAAGAGGTTTTGATCGTATACATGATGAAGGCTCTTCAAGCAGCAGTTCTTCCGATATGCCAAGCCAGGCAGCGAGTAGAAGCGGAACGCAAAATCCTGTGGTTCCTGGTCCTCCAATCTCAGCTGAAGGTAAGAATTAGAATTATAATTTATTTGCCAAATTTTGTTTGCTTCACAAAATACCTACATAATATAATTATCTAATATAAAAATCAATGTTTGTTTGTTTGTTGTTTATAGACTCGGAAACCGCTGAACCGAACTTGAAATTTATACCACATAGTCTCTATACAGGGTGTTCATTTTCCTATATATGAAGAACCGTTTTTTCTCATTTCCAAATTCAGTTTCTATTTATGACAATTTTTGTTTTAATAGTTTTATAATTTCATCCTGGTTCTATAGAATTACTACTAATCTTCAATTATCTGTCTTAAAATAATATTTGATTCAAAACCTCAGTCTTGATTTTGAAGGTGTTAGTTCACCATGGACGTCACAGACACATGTTTTCACTTTTGGGGCTTTACAAACGTCGCACTTAATTTCAATAGAAGATATTTAAAACTTATTTACTGAAAGTATGTGGAATGGCTATTGATGGGCTAGAATCGGGGTCAACTATGACCACTTTTATTGGCTCAAGTTTTGGAATCACTATCAGAGAAAGATCCATAGTTGTCTCATTTTAGAACAGTACTTAAACTATCTCTATTAAGACAGACCCTATTATGCTTTGGACAATTTTGGCTGCATTTATAACATGGACAGTTGTTGACTGTCAACAAATAAACAACAGATAGCAAATCAACTTAGATAACATGCTTTTGTGCATACCTTGTGTAGCGTGCAGCTGCTGCTTGGAGCGTGTTTCTCAGTATACGGGAACTTCAGAAGAATGTTTGGGACTGTTGCTGTTTTATTGGTGCCTGTTCAGCCTATATAATAACTTTTAGTCACTTTGAGAATAAGTAAACTATATTTAGGATCATCTAATACGTATTTTCCAATATTAACTTCATGTCTCCATCCATTTTCAACTGTAAAAACTCTATGTATGTATGTATTTGTGATAAAACAAAAAAATTAATTTAACAGATGATGAAACTGGGGAAGGAGTTGACAATCCGGAACCACAATGGTCTCCCGGACTCAGCAGTGCTGTAGACGAGGAAGAAATACCGGATGGTGTAGATCCTTCGTTCTTAGAAGCTTTACCACCCGAAATAAGACGTGAAGTACTCGAACAACAAAGACTTATTTCACTTCAGCAACGTTTGGCTAGCACAGTTACAGAAGAAGCACCTCCAGACCCTCCAGCTGAAGCGGGAGAGGCGGGAGAAAGATCAAGTTCCTCAGAAGGTTCTCCAGTGGTTAGTCCTGAATTCTTGGCAGCTTTACCTCCAGCTCTGCAAGAAGAAGTGTTATCGCAACAGAGGTTTGATCAACAGCGACAGGCAGCTGCTAGAGCTCCACCAAACGAACCTGTCGATGCGCATGCATTTTTCCAAACTTTACAACCATCACTGAGGAATTTGGTATTTTAATTTAAAAATATGTGAACAGCTCATTATATTTCTAAGTGAAATTTCAGATATTAGCAGACATGGAAGAGTCGCAAATATCAGCATTACCACCAGAACTAGCAGCCGAAGCTCAAAACTTAAGGCGCGATTGGTATGCGAGGAATAGGCAAATTGCCCAAGAAAGATTCTTACAAAGCAATTTGCCAACTATCATAAGACAGAACCGGGCTGGACGTGGCGGACATAGGCCTATTTCGATTCAGAGGGGTGCGTGGAGCCAATGGGGTCGAGAATTTATGGCTAGTACTGCGGTTCGAAGCCCTAGCACTCAGGTAAATACACCATTAATATATTTGTGACTATGTTAAAAATATGGGCAATTGCCCTATTATAGTAAAACACTATGTAGTGAATGCATGCCAGCGGCGCAGAATGCCCATATTCCATATATCCAAATTTACAATCTAAAACCTAGATTAGCTGTAAACTACTTTATATTTATTTCATATTATGCTTTTATAAATGTTAACTTCACAAGTTTCTAATTTGGAACACTTGGTCAAATGCAATAGAGAGATAATATTCTCTTTGATTAATAAGAGACTTTGTTTTTAATCAAATTATTGAGATCTATTTTGATATAATGAACCAATATGAGCACATATTAATTTTTCAGCAAAGTCAACTTCAAATCATTGCAACAAAACACTTGCAATGATTGCATGTGTCAATTTTCAAGTGAAATATTTTTTATGATTGTTTGTGGAGACTGTGTGCATTCTTTTGCCCTGTGATCTTATCTTAGGCCGTATATAGTTGATCTTCTAAATTGCTAATTTTATTTTAGAAAAAAAAAAAGTTTGGAAAAATCCGTGGAAATTTTAAATTTTTGGTGACCAATATCCTTAGGTCAACATTCTAAATTAAAATACTATAGCTGTTTTCGTGCATATAGCATTTTGCATTTTGATTCAATATAAAAAAGATTGACAACATGTATGTACAAAGCCAAATTTACTCGAACTCCCTTACCATTTTAAGTTTTTTACAGTTGCAACTAAGGGGTTTAGGGGCAAGATCAACATTCATTATTTCCACTTAGGGTAGACGGGTAGACTCTAACTTATTGCTTAAAGAGTTTTTGGTGTTTTTTTGGTATTATTTTTATTTGATCAGAAAGCAAACACAGCAAAATTCTACAACTGATGATTGTTTCAGGTGCGAATTCGAGGGCGTCAGCTTGTAGACCATGAGGGCATATCTTGTCTTCTGATACTACTATTCACAGACGATACTCATTTGAACAAACTTCGTCTACACAGAGTGATAAGAAATTTGTGTTACCACGCTCCAACCAGAGAATGGATTATAAACGCTTTGCTTTCGATCATCGATAAAAGTGTGAATACGAAACCTGATGAGTCTCTTAATAAGCCTGCGAGAAAGGTAGGAGTTAGTTTCTCAGATCCTTTTTTTTTGGGTTTATTTTGTTTGTGTATCTCTATATGTATGTCAGGGCTATGGCCTATATTCTGTAGATATTTTGTATCCAAAATTTGGATAGGCATCAAAAAACATTTACAGATCAAGTCCCTAGCAGGTTTGTTCGTGTGGTTCAGAGTGTGACAGATTTTTGAAGGAAAACGGAAGTTGGACAAAAATATAGGCTTGAAAAAAACCGGAATTTTGTTTTTGAGCTGTAACTTTTTTTGTTATTGAGCAATTTCCTATTGTTTTGGCTTGTTTGAAAGAGATTTGAACAGGCTAACGAATCAAAGTGAAACTTTTGACATTTGGGAAAATTTCAAAATGGCGAACTTCTTCATAAGTTACCTAACTTTGGATAGCGCTGGAACTTTTTTGTGGTTGAAAACTAAGCGAAATATTGAAATTTTTGTAATATCGAATATCACCTTTTCATATCCAACACTAGGTAATTTTTGAAGAAGTCCGCCATTTTAAATTTTTCTCAAATTTCAAAAGTTTCACGTTGATTCGTCAGCCTGTTCAATTCTCTTCCAAAGGAAATTGGTCAACAACAAAAAAGTTACAGCTCAAAAACAAAATTCCGCTTTTTTCGAGCCCACCCTATATATCATTCTGTTTTCTAGGTACCACGTGCTGGACCTTTGACAAGTAAATTGCAAACAGATTCTCGTCACTTAAATACAGGTGGTCACTGGCTGACCATTCGGATGGAAGCTGCTTTAGGTTGTGCAGCCAATGTTTTTTTGATCAATAAAACCAGTGGTAAAAAGGCAGTTGGTGGACATCAAGCTATAGGGCTTCATCCTCAAGCAGCTCCTGTTGTTTGTCGCAATACCTTAGATTTATTTACTGCTTTAGCTAAAGCATTTCCGTGTTGCCTTTTGCCCATTAAATTATTCAGAGAAGAAGATCTTGACAGGAATGCTGTGCCGCCTGTTAAATTGAACGCACCAGGCCAACCAGATTTCTGGGATATTTTACTTAAGTTGGACTCAGCCGGTAGCAAAAAAGGCAAGAGTATAGCCAAATCTACCAACTTTTATTCAAATTCTGGAGAGCAGGATAATTTATCATTTGAAAATACAGTGTTTGGGAAGCTTTTGAACATGTTGGGATCCCCAGTTGTCAACAGGAATACTCAACTCACAGACAACTTACTTAAGCTACTGTCGGTCACCACTGCTGGTATGCCTGATGTATTCAAACCTTACAGACCTAAGACAAGCAAAATCAAAACTGAAGTTATGAGTGCTGCTTCCGTACAAGCATTATCTTTGGCTGTGAGCGTGATAACCTATAAAAATTGCTCTGAGGAAGGTTTAGAATTCATTACCACATTGCTTTTGAATCTTGCAAGTGCATCACAAGACATGACCCACATGATATTAGAACTTTTACTTGACGGTGCAGCAGAAATAGGTATGAAAGTAGAAGAGGAAATTAAACACATGCTCGAAGATCTGAAACACCTTATCAGCTGCACTCCGAAAAAGAAAGATGATAAAGAAGGACCTTCAACTTCTAAAGGTGTTATTTACAACAGATTCACCAAAGAACAAGTGATAATAATGGCATCAGCTAAAGTTAAAGCAGCTTGTGAGCTTCAGCTACCTTCTATGGTACCTTTAACATCAAAATCTTCTAGTCAAATATTCTTTTTGAGAGTTCTACGTGTTATTGTACAGATAAGAAATTCCATTAAGAACAATATTAAGAGAAGTAAGTATAGATTTATATTTCCTTGTTCTGATTTGTGGAACAAGTAGTTTAATAGATACGTTTTTTTGAGCTTTTTTTACATTTGGCAATGGCGAAAGCTTATATTTTGATCATAATTCTGGAATTAAAGTTACTATTGAAAATCATAAAAGAATGTCTTGTGAAAAATCAATCAAAATCTGCTACCATTACATCCAAGTACCAAGTAAAGTTAATAACTAAAACAGGTTTTGATCAGATAAAAGAGGCTCACTAAAAAAAAAATATAATTGCTCAATTACATCTGTTATTATTCTCACATTAGACAGACTAGAAGCGGACCTCGTAGCTTTAAGTGAACAACTTCGGACTCTGGAAAGTCTATGGGAGACTCTCAGTGCGTGTCTATTAGAACTAGAACACGCGCCCGACCATCATGCTGTTCTAGTATTACAGCCGGCTGTGGAAGCTTTCTTTTTGGTACATTCGCCACAACAAGGAGCTGTCAGTTACAAGGACTTCGAAAAAGAAACTGCAACCGTTAACGAAGTCGAAGCAGTTGTTGATGTTCATCAGCAAAGTGACGGTGATGCACCTGTCGCCGGTGAAGCTGCTGCTAGTGCTCACAGTAATATTGCTGCGGCTCAAAGTATTGTTACTGCACTTGCAGGAGCAGTGCTTTCAAGAGCAGGGGTAAGTAGTTGCATTTTATTATTTATTTCTCGAATCCTGGTAGCAATATAGAGTTTTCCCGTTTTGTTTGTAGATACCGGTTTCGAACCTTTTTCCTAATGTTAACTCATTTTTTTTAGACTTCATCAAGCCAAGATGAGAGCTCTTTTTCGTCTTCCTCGACCACAGTAGCTGGACGTCAAGTTAGCCCAGAGCAACAAAAGTTCCTGGCATTTGCCGAAAAGCACCGTACCGTACTAAATCAAATTCTAAGACAGAGTACCGCCCATTTGGCTGACGGTCCATTTGCGGTTTTAGTGGACCACACCAGGATTTTAGATTTCGATATCAAGAGGCGTTACTTTAGAACAGAATTGGAAAGAATGGATCATGGAATCCGTCGCGAAGAAACCGCTGTTCACGTCAGACGATTGCACGTTTTTGAAGATTCCTTCAGAGAGCTTTTCAGAAGAACACCTGAAGAATGGAAGAATAGATTCTATATAGTATTTGAAGGTATTTTGGTCATTCCAGTTTTTGGGAACGGGTAAATAAAAATGAATATTATTTTTATAGAGGAAGAAGGTCAAGACGCTGGTGGTCTTTTGAGAGAATGGTATGTTATAATTTCCAGGGATATATTTAACCCTATGTATGCCTTATTCACTGTGTCTCCTGGAGATAGAGTTACTTACATGATAAATTCGGCAAGTCATTACAACTCTAATCATCTGTGTTATTACAAATTTGTGGGCAGAGTTATTGGTAAGTAATTATTGGAGTTATAATTTTCAGAAGCTCACCAATATTACTTCAATATAGCTAAAGCCATATATGACAACAAACTACTCGAGTGCTATTTCACACGTTCATTCTACAAACATATTCTGGGAATACCTGTGAAATACACTGATATGGAGAGCGAAGACTATACTTTCTACAGGGGACTGATTTATCTAATGGAGAATAATATTAAGAATCTAGGTCTGGATTTGATGTTCAGCACAGAAATCAGCGAATTTGGTGTAACTGAAACAAGAGATTTAATACCAGATGGTCGTCACATTCCTGTTTTGGAAGAAAACAAAATGGATTACATCAGATTGGTTTGCCAAATGAAAATGACAGGAGAAATTAAACAACAGTATGGATATTTATGTTAACTTTTAATATACATTTTCATTGACTTAATTTCTATTTCAGATTAACAGCTTTCTTAGAAGGTTTCTACGACATAATTCCCATGCGTCTTATTTCCATTTTTAATGAACAAGAACTTGAACTATTGATTTCTGGGTTGCCTAATGTAGACATAGATGATCTTAAGGCTAATACAGAATATCACAAGTATCAATCTAACTCATTACAGGTAAAATGGATTTTGGGCAAATGAAAACATTTTCATCAATCATAATTTTTGTTTTAAGATTCAATGGTTCTGGCGCGCCCTAAGATCTTTTGATCAAGCCGATCGAGCAAAGTTCCTCCAATTCGTCACAGGTACTTCTAAGGTGCCTCTTCAAGGCTTTGGAGCTCTTGAAGGTATGAACGGAGTTCAGAAATTCCAGATACATAGGGATGATCGGTCCACAGATCGATTGCCGTCCGCACACACATGGTAAGCTAACCTATTTTAAATAAAATACTGTTCATAATTGACTCGCATCAAAAAAATTATTGAGCATCATCCATATAGAAAATATATAGACCTAACTTGCTCTTTTTCTCTTATGGAATAACCCATTTTTCCCTACTTTTCCATAATCTACATAAAATTCTTCAATTCATAAAGCTTGTTTCATAGGTACTTATTGTTGAAGTTTTCTTTTAATTAGGTCCGGTTTATTCATCTTCAGATAAACTTCCTGGTAACTATCTGCAAGATTAATTTACCATTCTATAATTTTATTGGTCGTGGGTTAACGACCAATGAAATTACATATTGCGTTTTCATCCGTCAGATTGCATACCTGGCAGTTTATCCGAAGTTGAATAAACTGGCTCTAAGTGGATGCACATCTAATCAGGTACTTGGGGACAATTTCCAATTTTATTTTATTACCTATGAAGTTTGCAGGCCAAAAATGGGTTAAAGTTGATTTTTTTAATTGAAAGAACTTATACATAATAGTAATAGTAATAATGCTACATAAAATCTGATAGAAGGTTCGAGTATTTATTTTATTTATTTATTTATTTATTTATTGTAGTAGCAAATATACAAATAACAAGAGTGAAAAATTCTGATAAACTCTGTTGTTACACAATATAGTTCTCACTTACGTATAATTTAAACCTATTTACGCTGCTTTAAGAATAGATTTGGTCATTTCATATGAAAAAATGCATCTTAGATTTACGTCTCTGGCAGATGATGCTCAACAACTATTAGAATAAGTTTGAAACTGTTTTCTAAAAGTCATTTTTTTTTCAGCTTCAATCAATTAGATCTACCAGTATACGAGACATACGATAAACTGAGAGCCTACTTGTTGAAAGCTATACACGAGTGTTCTGAAGGTTTTGGCTTCGCTTAAAATAATCCCTTTAATGTTAATTAAGACTGATGTGTTAATTTGTTTATATATCTATCTATAGCATAGTCTTGATGTGTAAATAAAGTCAAATTCATAATATCTGTTCGACATTTGCACCACAGCAGTCGCGAGAGATGACTATAATAACTTTAATGTTAAATGTACAGAAAACTGTAAATTCAATAATTATTTTTCATTTAGACATGTTCAGGGCAGTGTATTTTTGTAAATGGGCCCCTAAGGCAATCGAGTGTGATAAAATGAACTTGTTGTAGGTTCACCTGCAACTATAATATTTCAATATTAATATAATATCTAGGATTTTTAAGTTTTTCTCGTTCATTAATATTATTTTGAGTTTTTGTTTATTTTAAATCAGATTTGAAACTGAAATCCAATTTGTGATTTAGTTTTTTAGTTTCTTTTGATAACTGCTGTTCTTTGTATTATTCTCAAGACAACTAATTATTGTAATAAAATTGTATCTTGAAATATATATTAATTTTGGTTTATATTTGTTGTTTTTTTTTTAATAAAAGATATTCCTAGTTAGCTGGATTTTTGCCAAGGTACACCTTTGGCTTGGCTTTTTTAGTGATATTTAGGGTTGAAGGTCACTAAAAAAACAATTTCTCACTAAAACTTCTTTTGGCTGGATGTCACTGGAGAGTGTGATTTTGAAAAATACAGGGTGTCCTTAGATAAACTGACACGATTTGCAGGTAAATATCTCGAAAATGAGAAAAGATAACGGAATGCGGTTTGTTTCTGGGAGAATAAGGATTTTTTAAAGTCTTTTTTCCATAGTGATTTTTTTGAAATAATTACATACTGCCTTTTTCTTGATGAAACACCCGGTATATTTTGTCATCGTCGGAAAGCGAGACTTTTCTACTTTAAAAAAATGTATAATTTTTTTCTGTCATCTTGAAATTGAATCGTAAAAATTGCAGTTTGTTGAAGACTGTACCATCGGCGATTTGTGTTTAATGCACTTGCATTATTAATCAATTCGTATTTAGTACTTGTATTATTAGTTGACTATGCGCTAATTAGTTAATAGAAGTATTAAACACAGATTAATTATCATTATTTTTTTTTGGCCAGTCGATGGTATTCTCTTCGACAAAGTTCAATTTCCACAATGCAAAATCAAGATAATTAAAAAAAATTATACATTTTTGTAAAGTAGAAAAATCAGGTTTCCTGACGATGACAAAATATACAGGGTGTTTCATTGAAAATAAGGCAGTCATTTTATTTCAAAAAAATCGCATGTCTGTAAAACCAAATTTCAGCAAATTTTAAGATTCGTCAATAATGTCAAAAAAAACTTAAAAAATCCTTATTTTCCCAAAACAAACCGCATCTCATTATCTTTTCCCGTTTTCGAGATATTAACTTGCAAAATGTGTCAGTTTATCTGAGGACACCCTGCATTAAAATCATGAAGTGAGAAGTACCTACCGAAACTAATTTTGACTGAGGCCTTGGACTTTGTTACTATTAAACAAGGTCTCTAAGAGAAATGTGGACTTTTCTCAAATATGGAATGCTTTAATATGTCCTTCGTATCTATCTCAAAATAATTGATATCTACCGTGATCTGGTTTAAATATGACTGACCATGACAACATTGAGAAATACATAATTTTGTTCAGGAACACTTGAGTTTGGCATGCGGACGACGTGAGCTGCTGGTGGAATTGATTTCCTATAATATAATGTTGTTCATTCGGCGGTCCTGCTAAGTAATCTTAAGCAGCGCTAGTGGTACTTTTACAAACACCTCCGGTGTCACCTGTGGAGAAGTGTTGGTACCTATGAAGATTGCATTGTAGATTCAGAGTTTAGTTTGGGCACTTATGCCGTGGTTATCGAATACCCTTTTCGAGAGATATAAAAAAGCTGAGCTAACACACTTTAATCGGTGTCGAATTCCTGCGTGAATATTTTCATTTGTGATGGAGGATGACTACTGAGGTACCTATGGGAAGTATTTTATATTTTCTCGAGTCGTTTTATTGATAATTAGAGCTGGATCTGGTTTATGCTTATTTGGGGAAGGCTGGCATAGGATTTCTATCTTATCCTGGCTTCGTTCTAGACAATGCTTGTCGGTATTCTTCGTCGTTTACCAGGACAATATTATCATCATTGAAGTTCACGAACAGTTGTGAATAGCTTGTTCTTGGCTCAAAGTTTTATAAGCTTAGAAAGCTTACCATCAGTTCTATAAAAAAATTTAACACCCAACGGCAGGTTTTCTTGAACACATTGAAATATAGGTTCTGCAAACTATAGAGAATGAACTTGGCGCAATGGCACATCCTTGCTTTACTCTGGTTGTGATCTTAAAGGCTTCTCCGGGTCTTTTGTTGGTAAACAATGGTCCTCAGGCAGCAAACAATATATGTTGATAAATAAGTTAGTCGGACAGGCGTGCAATGCTAGAATTTTCCAAAGAGCGGCTCGATTGACCAGTAAAACGCTTTGACAACGTCTATAAATGCCGTATACAGTATACCTGCATACAGGGGTTTGGTTCCTTTTCCGATTTTCTTTGCATTTGTCTTGCACTGGGGATTGTGTCCACCGTCCCTCTGTTAAGTATAAAGCCTCCCTGTGCTCCGGGTAGAATGACTCGGCCAGAGGAAAAAGTCGTTTTGGAGAGAATCCTGGCAATAATTCAAGAATTTTTCTGTCTGTAGAGAGCAGCGTTAATCGTCGTTAATTTCCAAACTGTGTCCTGTCGCCTTTCCTAATTATAGTAGTGACAATAGAAATGTCACGCAGATCTATGAGAATCGTCTCAGTATTCCATATTTTGGCAATATAGCTATAATATGTGTTCGAGTAGGCCTAGCCGTCCATCTTGAAAAGCTCATCAGAGACTTCGTCTAACCCAGCCTCCAACCTCTTGATGGGATGGAATGTCATTCGGATGGTTTTCAGTGAAGTTCCCGGCCCGGCATCCACATGGTAACCGTTGTTTCGCAGTTCCTAAAAATGTGGCTGGGGGCTGATAGAAAAGCTGGATTTTTGAGTAGCTGAATCCCATCTCTAGATCTCATGGCATTTTTTGGAGCGGGACCATAGGTTGCTTTTGTGGCACTGAACGAGGCTCTGGTGTTCTCAGAAATTGCTAAATGTTTTAGGTTTCAACTCAACTCCATTGTCCACTATTCGTTTTTTAGCATTCAATTGTTCTTATACATAGATTTTGATGATGACGGATCAGAGGCAAAGCAAATTCTGTCTATCTTGTTTTTATCATTTGACCTAGAGATGTATGTTAATGAACCTACTAGAATAACTGCCCATTCTCAAACCAAAATCGATTATCTATGTTTAAATTTCGTCTTAAAGCAAATGTTTGTTAGCTGTAGTGTTATTCCTGTAGGCCTTTCGGATCACGACGCAGTTTTAGCAACATTTCAATTTGCGATAAATAAACCACCAAAATATAAAGTTGGTTCTTCAAACAGATGTTAAATTAGATCCCAATATTCTTAACAACTTTTACTGTACTGTTGCTGAAAATTAACAACAAAACTTGAAAAGTAATGTGGATCCTTGTTCTTATTTATTGAATGTCACAAGAAATGACACATTTGTACTGGAAACTACAAACACATTAGAACTTAATGAAATCTTTAGAGGAATAAAAAATAATAAATCCAGTGGGCACGATAATGTTTCAATAAATTTGCTTAAAAACTTACCTGATAATGCATTATATGTCTTGTCTGAATAATAATATAATAATAATAATAATAATATTTATTTATTTATTCACTTATAAAAATTTACATGGGTTTCAAAATAATACATATTTTTTAATTGTTCAAAACGGCACCTATTGTTTGCCCAGCGGTTCTGAGTCTACGGAAGGAATTCGGACGTAAATGTACGATGTTGTCACGTTTAATTATAAATAAGCGAAAATACTAGGTATGATATATAGTTCATTTGAAAATCCATTTTTTAATAACAAAATATAGATAACAATAATAAAACGTTGAATATTTTAACGTTGTTGTTCGATCTATTCTTATTTAAATACCTGATTTCTTCAATTTGGTCTATTGTAAAAGATAGACATTTTCTAAATATTCCATCAGCTTTTGTCAATTTGGCAAGCATCCGGCCTGGATGACCCTGATTGGTGGAGTTTTTGGCATTATTGCCGTTGCCACGGGGAACCATGCCGTTGTCAATGGGTTAACGTCACCTTACGTCTCGCTATTGGCTAGGGCTCCCGTCATTGTTTCATCCCATCTTGGAATATTGATTTATATTGAAATATCCAGTGGCGGGAGTTTGGTTATTATTGATTTTCGTGTACGAGTTGCAATAAGATAACACTTCCAAAAAGTTACGCACTATACGCACGCAGCTGGGTATTTTATGAATGAAATCAGCCATTTTTTTTTACAACTGCATTCCCCTCACTGCTGCCCCGTAGACACAGACTCACTGGGCAGACATTAGATGACCTAACATCTGTATGTGCCGGTGAAAACGTATAAAAACTACTAGATAATTTCAAGCAAATGTTTACCAACTAGTGATACATGCCTCAAATGCTAATATACAATATTCAAAAAAATATTCTAAACAGTTCTAAATTTTCAACAATAAACATTCTACATTTTTTTCGAAATAGACTATTTTTTTCAATCGTCTTTATTTCTAGGGGAATAATATTATAAATTTTGGGTGCTAAATAATTGACAAATCTAAGATTAACATTTTTTTTGCTTATCGGTATTTGGATGTGTTTGTTCACCCTGTTCGCGTTTCATATATATGATTCACATAATTTTTTAAGTTTTAATTTTTATGGATAAAGGAACAAATCTGTAACATGTATAATGTCCTGAGTCCTGACATTCAATATTTCATGAGCATACAGTTGTGCAGTTGAATATCTTCTACCTTTCTTGTTTATAACCTTGAGAATATAGTTCTGAACAGTGTTTAACTGTTTTAGAGAATTCTGATATAGACCACCCCACACAACTATACCATAACGTATTATCGATTCAACTATGGCTTTATAAACTGAAGTTAAAAGTTGTTTGTTTAAAATTTCTCTTAGCACATAAAATTTGTGAATTAATTTCCTTAAATTATTTGTAAGGTGAAGAACATGATGATCCCATTTCAAATGTTTGTCAATAACAATGCCAAGATATTTTGTGTATGATGTTTCTTTAATATTGTCATCAAAATTTTCAATATGTATACAAGTAAAATCAGGACGATCGGCTTCAGTAGGTGAGAATGCTATATAATTTGTTTTTTGCACGTTAAGCGTCAATTTAAAATTGTCAAGCCAGTCTTTTACCTTGGATAACCCAGCCATAGTTTTTTCTTTTACATTGTGCCATGTTTTAGCTGAGAATACTGCTGCTGTATCGTCTGCGTATGAAATCAGGGAGCCATTATCAATCAGTAGGTCCGTCAAAGCGTTTATGAATGTGATAAAGAGTATTGGACCCAAAACGG